CAAACACGCGTACTGCAATCTAGGTGTCGTTCGGGCCTTTGAGAGATTCTTTGGCACACCAGGTAAGTATTCTAACACACATAACCAAAAATGACCGAGATTAAGTTTAATACTTTATCTATGTTTTCTACTAAATCCAATTCCAACCATTTCGAATTAATCAACAATTTCAAGCAATTGGAATACATTAATCTGTATTTATGGTGCAACAGAATCCTTATGTGGCATAAAAGGGTCTAACAAAAGCCAGGGAAACCCTTGATCCCTAAGATTGTGCGTACTGCATAATTAATTTTCTTTTAAAACAAACCGATTCAAAAAGTCACACTCTTCTAATGATTATTTTCAGGCCAGCTTCCATCTACCATCAACAAGTTCATTTTGTTTATACAAATCAACCTTTGCAGCCAAAGGCAATATAATTTTCAATTGATTTAGAACCCTTCTCACATCTTCAATTTCAGTATTCTCTCATCAACTTTCTTAGTCGGAAGATAGAGAATAACAAAGCGAAAAGAAAAAAACGATATAGGATGCCGGAAAATCCGAGATACGCATTGCAAGATGTGCAGGGAAAGGGAAAAGGTCTTGTTGCTACCCAGGACATTCCTAAGGGTACTCGAATCATTGAAGAGAAGCCAATTATGACGAGGCCTAAACAAGCACCCCCGGGATTTTCCCTCCGAGGTCAATTCAATGCCCTCAATAATGAACAACAGCAAGCATTTCTATCTCTGAAAAATGTACACCCTTACAAGAATGCGGATGAGCAATACTTCGGTATCTTCAAGACAAATGGTCTTCCCATGGCAAGTGACGATGAGGGTGGACTGTTCATTGAAGCTTGTCGGATCAACCACGCCTGCGATAACAACGCCTTTAGCAACTGGAACACGAATATCCGAAAGCACACTATCCACGCGCTGAGAGACATCCACGAAGGCGAAGAGATCACAATAAGCTATCTTGGATCTCGCTCATGGCCTCGCGAAATTCGACGTCAGGTTCTCCAAGAGAAATTCAAATTTTTATGCTCATGCAATCTTTGTGCTTTACCTGCCAGGGAATCCATGCAAAATGACAGAGAGTTCATGAATATCGCTCGGATCATGACTCTGATTCCAGGCACCTTTATGAGAAATCCGTTGCAGGGCGTCCGCTACATGGATCAAGCAGTTCAGCTACTCTCTGGCAAAGAAATGGGTGTCAGCTTATTGGGTGGACTTTTTGTTGAAGCTTCTAAGATGAACATAGGTCACGGTGACTTGGCAAGAGCTCGTATATTGGCTGAGAAGGCAACACCTTACTTGAGAATATCATATGGCAGCGACAGTCTACAAGTGCTCGATAACAAGCAACGAGCGAACCATCCATCTATGAACATCTACTACGGGTTGTCATCTCTAGATTGGGCAACACCCGTCCATGATGTCCCGTCAAGTCTTGATTCAAATGGATTTGAAGACTGGCTTTGGAGAAGAGAGGGACTACAGAATTCGCAAATTTATTTCGAAAGCCCAAACAGTTTTTTGAGCAACTCTATTTTCCCCTCATTGCTGGAACTTCCGCATAGACAACGGACGAGCCCAGAGTTCTATGAAAATGCTGGAAAGTTCAATTACCGACCGCGACGCCACTGGTGTTTCTTGGGCGAGATTCTAGAGTTTGACATATCAGTTCTCGCAATTCTGGTCAAAGACGTTGATGAAAGAGAAGTCCAGCTCTTCCTCGAAACCAATGCACGAGGTATATTTCCTAGACTTCGAAAAGCGCACACGGTTGCAATTCTCTATGCGCAACGTGACGACAAATTTACAGAAACCTATATCAGCCTTGAAAACGTCGCATTACTTCAGGTATGGTACTCGACTGGTTTCCACTAGATACCCATATATTGGTCTATATTTAACAATGTGATACAGATCTTCCCAATATCGTTGTCTCACTTGATTGCATTAAGAGATCTGACTCAAGAATTTTCTACGAAAAGAGAGGTTGATAATGCCAGAAAATGCCATGGATGTGGTAAGAAGTCATCGTCAATGGTTAAATGCAGCGGGTGTTCCTTTTTCTGGTATTGCAATCAGGTTAGTCTAACACAGAGGCTCCGCGATCATGTATACTAGTGCGCATACTAACTATCATGTGCACAACAAACAGAAATGTCAGAAGAACGGCTGGAACACTAAGGGCCACAAAAATGATTGCAAAATCCTCAAGAAGCCTGATTTGCGAGGGATGTTTTTGATGAAGTGGGACGAGTTCAATGGCGTTGTTCAATTTCCTTTGTCGACTGCTGTAGGAAATTAAGCAGGAGATATCCATGGAGCACTTGCCATAGATGAAGGTTCATGATAGAGTGAATAAAACCAGCCACTACATTCTACTTCTTTCTCATGTCGAAGTTTGAGGCACAAGTGCTAGTGCTTCATTTATCCTCCATGCATCACAAAGCTCCTTGCATGCACGAAGGATCAAACCTTCTCCCTTGTTCATTCTTTTATGTGATTCCGCAGTTTTACAAGTCACATGCATCAATAATGCACATCATTTAGAAATCTTACATTCGTTCTGATCAAACGAATTCACTGCAAACAATTTCATTATGGTTGGTTATATTGGTTCATTCTCCTACTGGCATTCTCATATTCACTTTCACAAAGTCTTGAAGCCAACCTGATTTTCAGATAAAGAGGTCACGCAGATCCGAAGGCGGATAGTCTGGATAAGTGTATCACGATGGCTGGTCGAATGTATGCGAAGCAGCATGTGCCAGGGAAAGGTCTAGGTCTCATTGCGACCGTAGATATCCCCAGGGGCACACGAATTCTTTCTGAGTCTGCATTGTTATTAGGAACTGAATTACCCGGAGAGGATCTTCGATCTTGCATCTTGAGACAATGGTCTGCTCTCACTCTTGAACAGCGACAGGATTGCTTTTCTTTCGGTCATATGGATCCATACACAAATGGAATCGAACGGTTATGTGCGATTTTCAACACAAATTCTCTGCCTTTGGAAGGAACTTGTATTTTAGAGCGGGGCAATTCAGGCGGATCTCAAAATCAACACAAAAGAGCCGGGCTTTTCGCTAATGCATGTCGTATCAACCATGCTTGTGATAGAAACGCCGGAGCGCACTGGATGGAGAGTAGCCAACAAATCGCCGTCACAGCTCTGAAAGACATTCCTAAAAATGATGAAATTACGATAAACTATCTTGGTCTCTTTAAATCCCGCACAGTTCGGCGTGCAAGTCTTCAGAGAAATTTCGGGTTTGATTGTTCATGTGGTCTCTGCTCCTTGCCAGAAAATGAGAGCAAGAACAGTGATAGGCAATTGAGTGAAATACCCAGACTGTCGTCATTCATTTTTGGTCGTATCGCAGCGAGCAGATGTGGAAGACTATTACGGGAACTTCGTGAATTCGATCAGCTAGTCCGTCTTTATAATGAGCAGGAAACCGGTGTTGCCGATATGGGGCGACTATATGTGGCTATCGCCGAGAGGGTTCTCGAGCATAGCGACTTGGCCAGAGGAAAGGTTTTCGCGGAGATGGCAATATCTAACTTTAAAATAGTCTATGGCAGTGACTGTATGGAAATACAAAAATGGGGGTACCTAGTTGACAACCCTACTGAATACGAACTATTCGGGCATTCAAAGGCATGGAAAACAACAGTCGACGAAATCCCCACTGGTTCTTCTCCCGAAATTTTTGAAGCGTGGCTATGGAAAAGAGAGCAAGCGCGTTTTGTGCAACAGATAGTCGATTTTAGAAGCCGCGCCATTTTTCCACCAACCATCAACTTGCCCTTTACAAGCAACAGCGACTACTACGAGACCAACGAAAATCATTTTTTCAGGGCACGAAATCATTGGTGTTTCTTTGGAGAGATTACTCACACGACTAAGTTTGGGAAATCGACGTTGGCAGTCAAAGATGTTGATGGTAAAGAGGTCAAGCTCGCATTCAAAACCGAAGAAAGGGGGAGAGAATTACCACCAAATAGAGTCAAAGTAGGACACACAGTTGCGATCATCAACGCAAACCCCCACGAGTTTTCGGTTGAAGATGAAAATTATGGTGGAAAGATTGGTATTCTTCATGATGATGAACTTTGTTTGAAGGTAATGTGCTTATCAATTATATATCTCTTTAGCTATTTTAGCTGTCTACCACTAACCATATCCAATAACAAATAGATCTTCACACTTTCTTTGAAAGAGCTATTCGCGTTGAACGATCAAGTCCAAGTGTTTTCAACAGAAACGAATGGTCTAAGGATGTGTCATGGATGTCAGAAGAAATCAGCCTCGCTGTTCAAGTGCCAGAAATGTTCAATGTTCTGGTATTGTAGTAGGGTAAGACTTAATTCAAACTTTCTTCTCCTTCTGTTTTCATGTTACAATGATGACTGCGATGCTAATCATATGTTTGTAACGAGTAGGCTTGTCAAATAATTGGATGGAGTCAAAATGAACACCAGGATGTGTGTATAATTTTCAGAAAAGATCCTGATTTGAAAAGAATGTTTCTTCTGGATTGGGAGAAATATGATCCTCATGTTCAGTTTCCTCTGCCTGCTTAGATAGGCCGGTAGTTAATATGTATTAAGGAGAATTCAAAGCATAATAGCATCACAATGAATGAGGAAATAGTATGGGTGAAGGTGTAGTAAATCATTCGATCAGGAAAGGTATTGTTGATCATTAAATTCTGGGAATAGCTTGAACGAATATGCTTTTCTATTATTCCTGTCGGTTCCAACACAAGTTACTCATCCACTCCCACCCCGTATCTCCCATTACTAGACAGTCTTTGAATCTCTGCAGTGCTCATCTCCTAATTACGCAATCTTCTCGTCCAATTCAGATCCAACTAAACCTTCACTAGGTTCAAATATCTACTCCATCAAGTTTCCACAACATCCAAAAGCCCCAATGTCCATCACACTATTCCTCCGCCCAGTGCTTTAATATCCACTATCATACCAATCTCAGCCCCTAACAACGAATCCAGGACGATCCCACTTCGTCGTACCGACCGAACTAACAGGCGAGACAGGTCGAGAACCAAAATCATCTTCATCTTGTCTTCGCATCGACGGTGGTACAGCGCTCAGACCCGGATTACTGACCGATTGACCGATTCGACGTCTTCCCGTATATGCTCCGACTTTGCTAGCTTCAAGTGTGCCGGTTCCAAGCTTACCGGCATCGATAGTGCCGCCTCCATTGGTTTGTGCACCCGGCCTAATAACCCCTAGCGAAGATCTTCTTTCCGGAATCGTCCAGCTCAATCTCGATTCCTTCACTCTATCTTGTTCTTCTTGAGGGTTTCGCGCAGTCGACACTTCGGCGAGGGTGTTGTGACTCTTTTTTTGTGCGTGGCGGTAGCTCGCATATCCATTCATGACGCGGGTGGATACGGCGCGGTGAGATGATGAGATGCCAATGGGTCGTGATGCGTGGAGACCGTTTCCATCACTCGCGCGAGGTGCGTATGCACCTCTGGTGGATCGGCGTTGATGTTTTTCGTTTGGAGGGACGGATGGTTTGGATGGTCCACAGCCCATTTTGGAGGATATGTGAGGGTGGTTTGGGAAGATTTTGTTGGAATGGGTCTGGGAGTCAAAGCCGTCGACTTTTTATGATGGTGTTTTCGAAGAGATACGGGTGAGTGAATTTTGAAGCTAATAATTTTGAGATTTTGAGTGTGATACTTGTTATTCACCTGTGGTTGAATGACGAATTTTACAATGGGTAGAATTACCAATAAACTTCCACCATTAGCTAAATTTTTCTCTGCAACATGAGTATGTAATTAGAATTCTAGATGGCAGCATAATCTCTACGTCAATGAATCGAGATTAATTCTTAACTCAAAAAATCCACTACTCAGTTCCTCTGTCCAAAGCACCAGTTCCACAACCTCGACCAACGATTCATGCCAGCCCATGATATATTGCACTTCCCTAGTCTTCTCTCTGCTTTATGCCTCGTATCTTTATCTTCCCCAAAATTTCTATCCATCTCACACATCTCATCCATCACAGCCATAGCATCGACTACCAACCATTTTCCTCCTTCCGCATCCCCATCCCCTTTCAAATATGATTCCTCTTCTTCCTCTATCTTCCTGATCATCTGGGTATTCTTAATGCGTTTGATAACCTCTCGCGCTTCTTCAATCCTCTCTTCTTCTCTAAATTTGCGAGCTTCGAGGAGCATGGGGATCAAACTATTTGTAGGCCATGCGAGATGAGACATTTCTTCCCAGATTTTAGGGTCATTGGTGATTTGTTTCTTGTCTATATCAACACCCCACTCGGCCGTGGCTATAGAGAGAGATGTAGATTGGTCTTTAGGTGATTCTGCGTTCATTGTGTTTGATATCTTTTTGTTGCGGTGCATATTCTAATTTCGAAGCGTTGAAAGGGTTGCGAGGAAACTGGGATTTTGGATACCAAATGATGCGGTTTATATATGAAACTCAAGAGATCAAAACACTGGAGCCTCTCCTGAACAATGCATCATCGACCGTGCAACACTTTATCTGCAGTATTGTTCACCAACTACGCAGTAGTATTACGAAATTCTGATCCAAATTTCAATACGCCGACCATCGATGACTCAATCACATTACGTTTTTCAATCATGACCGTATGAATTTGAATATCCATAAACGTCATCTCGCAACCTGAAATCCGAACCTAGTAAATCGAGTTTGTGTTTTGTGAGCTTCAACGCATTGTATGTTAGATTCTCAATCTGTCTATACGCTCTTTTACTACCATCCATCGCCCTGCTGCTCCTTCCACCACTTCAATCTTCTCCTAACATTCTCCCATTGAATAGTCTACAAATCGATCTCACAATCAAATATGGTTTCCTCTCGATTCCTGGAGCTATCGAAATGAAGATCACCCGCGAAACGAACCTTTCTCTTTGTGATTCTATTCTTCGCCCTGATATGGTTAGCATAGACTTTATTTTGATAGTTCAATAAAATAACCTACTTCCTAAGATCATCAAGCGATTCTTGCGAGCCAAAATCCCCGACGATTATCCTAAAAACAATTAGTATGCACTTCATTTTGAATTTGGAAAAGTGATATTTACCCTCCAGGCTTGTTCAAAGATTCTTGAGAATCCGTACGTCCATCTTTACTTCCGTGTTTGTTCTTGAACTGCATAACGAGAAGTGAGTGAGGATTAGTCGTGCTATCTCCTGCTGTGGTTTCTGGTTCTGGAGTTGAAAGATCGAGCATCGATTTGGATCTTGGTGGCGATGAGACTTGCAATGTGTTATTGACAGTTCCACCCTGGAGGTGTGTAGCAGCTTGGAGCTGATTTGGTGCGATGGATTTGCTGCGGGCTCTGGCAGGTTGGTCTTCGGGAGGTGTCAAAGTCGACATTTTAGTGACGTTATTCTCAATCTCGGTGATTTCTTGTTGTCTTTGAGCTAGTTTGTATATTGTAAGAGAAAAGTATTTTATTGTGGTGAGAAGTAGCACTTAAATGGTCTTTTGGCATGGAGTTAAATTATTCATAAGTTAAATTGTTGATTATTCGCATGATATCACTTACTCATATTCTCAAGACAAGTCCAGTCACATATCATGAACCAAAAATTGTGATTAATAAATATCTATAAAATGTCCTAACGAGTGGCCTCAGCCCCGGGTAGATAATGACCCCCAGATATAGAGAGTACACTTGAGCAGCTGCTCAGATACATGGTCTATCAACATCTAACTCCGCATCCATCGCCGACCCAACTAATCATAACGAGAGCCGGTCTTCAATTGCTCACCTTGATTTGGAAATCCTTTCGGTACAACTCTCAAGGAAGTAATTACTTCTCCATTTCCCTCACTAATCAACTGATCAGTAGCCCAATGAAAACCCTGACCGCATCGATATCCACCGGTGATTCTAAGCCATCGACATCCTCTAGGACATGTATTACCGATTTTTCGAAGTTGGGATTTTGCCCATGCATCTTGAACGAAAAATTCCTGAGATGCAATATCCATGTTCTCAATTCCTAATTGAGCCACAGCCATTTCTTGATCGTGTTGGCTTTCTAATCCTGGAAATGGAGCAAAAGGTGCTTGCTGCTATTGACATCTATCAGTTAGCGATCCTCATAAACTTTCTGATTGACTATTTGGGGATTGGCATACCTGTTGTGGTGATGGCATAGCAGATGCTACACCATATCTATTCTGTCCACCTGTCGATTGAAGCCCCCCGAGACTAGGCATAGGATTTCCGGGTTGCACAAGCGAACGGAAACCCTTTCCTCGAGCAATTCGTTTATGAGCTTTTTGCATTGCTTGATCCTGCTGTGCCTTGCGCCATTCTGGATCTTGACGTGGATCAACATACTGGGCTGCCTGACCACGAGGGTTTTGAAGCTGAGCTCTAGCTTCAGCTTCGTGGGCGTATATTGTGGGTGGACCTTGTCTGTTGGTAGGCATAATGCTAGATGGTGAATTGCCTCCGAATGCTGGATTGGTTCCGAAAGATTGTCTACGTGGTACTTGAGATGGAGGTTGTTGGCCTGGATAAACACGTGGAGAATCTTGAACTTGTCGTTGCAAATGGACTGGTGTTGTTAGAGTTGGCTGAAATCGAGGATGGTTTTGTGATCCAGGACAAGGCAGTGGTTGAACGTGTGATTGATTTCGGTTAATGAGCTCAGTGGGTCTTCTCGTTTGAGTTTGTGATTGAGTTCGTTCAAGAAATCCGGCTGATCTCTGTGATTCAGATACAGATTGAATTGATTGCGTAGATCTGAGGGACGGCTCGCGCTGTGATTGTAATAGTGGAAAATTCGGTGCCTCTTGGCCTTGACCAATTGGTACTGCAGTAACTCGTGATTGGGAGCTTCTAGTTCCAGTGACATGGGATAGTGTTTGACCTGTTTCGCTTCCTAAATCAAATTGTAGTCGGCTAGGATTCGAAGAATGAGCAGAACTCGGACGACTAGATGCTGTCATACTTAGATTGGCAAAATGTTGATTTAAAGGAAGAGGGTTATGAGGAGCTTGGCTCATACCACGACTGGCGGAAAATTGTCGTTGGTTTGCAGTGAGTTGAACATCCATTCTACCAAGACCAGCAGGAGCTTGGCTCATACTGGAGCGGGTAGAAGCTTGGTCTGCAGTAAGTGGCATATTCATCCTATCGAGTCCGGTAGGGGCTAGACCTCCTTGTGGAAATCTACTTGGACCACCGTCATCATGACCTCCCTTTGCATTCTTCTTCTTACCTGCCATATTGATCTCTGAACTTACTGAAGATAGAATCAAGGTGATGGATGGGGGCTCGAGGAATTCCTGTGGGTAGTCTGAGATAAATGTAAATTGAAATAATAAAGTGATGAGTTTTATAATTAATTGAAGTAGATGTTTAGCCGTTGTGATTGTTTTTGATAGATGGCGAATCTAAGGGTCTATATATATACAGATAAGTTACTACGACAACTTTGAATAACTATTGAGCTACCACTTCATAGGCAACTTTTGCAACTCAAGTTAACAGTAACCAGATTGATATAGCTGTACGAATAATGATGTACTAAGATATCACAGCTGTGCTCAACCTGGGCTCAGCCGAGAGATACTGCAATAAAGATAAAAAAATTACGGCTTCCCAAAGATACATCTATTCTTTAAACTCGCTACAATCACCTTATTTCCACTTAGAAACAATGATTTGAATAAATCTTATCATATCGATTTCCGAGGCTGTACCCCGCTTCCATACATATGGATAGTAGTAATTAGAATGACATTAGAAATAGCTCCGAATAACTATGTAATTGGGACTACAGCCCGAAATGATTAATCGACTAATTATTATCCTAATCAACGTTCGCAATCCACCTCGTCGGTTCGCTTCGACTTACAAGATGATGGTATAAATAAGATGCATGAGAATCTCCGAGGTACTGGCCATGGAGCAGTTGTTCTCTGGGTATTATGTGTGAAAAACTTTTGGGTGTATCCCTTCATGATCATAAATCTTTTCATCGTCATCTACCCCTATTGCTCCTCAATCTATACCACCTAACAAGCCACAAAATCAACGCCAGCGTTGACATTAATCTTATGCCAGCACCAATCCAAACGCCCTTCTTCATTGCATCATAATATCCTTCTAACATAACGCCTACTGCATGTTCCTTCGTCTTGTTCTTTCCTATTAAAGGCCCTCCATTTTCAAGCATTGCAACAGCAGTTGTTTCTCCATCCATTGCTGTTTGATTACCAGTCCCATCGTGCGCACTCCCTCGTAATCGTTCCGTATTTCGTTTCTTGATATTCCGTGTAAGCAGGTTTATAATGATTCGTATATCTGGTGAAGTAAACGTGGGATATTCCCATAACTCAACCGAATCGTGAGGGGGTAATTGATCGAGAAAATCAGCTACCATACCCAAGGTTAACCCCCAAAGTAAGAGTGGTCTGTCGCTCTGTGCTTTCTCCCCCCCTTTGAACCAAGTATAAGCTCTTTCAAAGATGCTTTTCTTAGGTTGCGATTCTTCCGAGAAATATTCCTTCGTTGAACTGCAATACAATGATTCACTGGGTCGTAATCGAATGGCTGAGAACCTCATTTTACCAATTATTGGCTTCAATATCGTTTTGACTACTACCCCCCCTTGCTTGGCAAATCGATCGGATACATTGACATATTCGTATGTGCGCACTGAGGGCGAAAGAAGGACTCGAAGGGGAACCCAATGTGTTGATGCTATTTCAGCAGGCTGTAGTTGGAGTGGTGGGAATGCTGGACAGATCCAGATGAAGAGGAACGGACAAAGTACCATAATTCTGTTTCGGAGACAGTATCAGCAATTTCTCTTCAATATTTCCTGCCTTATCGAAGTGAATCGAGATCCATCTGCCAAAGGTAACTCACGGCACTGATCCCCAGCTTGTAGAAACCACCCTCTCAGGCAGGTTCCCAACGTACACACATCTCTCCCCCCTTAAATCCAACCCAATTTCCTCACTCGTTTCCCTCACTGCGACATCTTTATCACTTGCATCACCAGGATCCCTCTTTCCGCCCGGTAGCGCGACATGACTCGTCCATCGATCTCCTTCTCTTGCTGCGCGTTTGATGAATAACAATTCAGGATCACCATTCTTCACCCATGATTGTTCAAAGAAATTTGCAAGTCGCTGGTCCGTTGGTGGTTCTGGATATGGAAAGATTTGAGGAGTTGTAGGAGGAAGATCATTGCGAGAAGGACGAATACGTAATACTAGAGCTACTGATGCGCGCCTTGGACAATTTGGTGGATTAGGTATGTATGGATATGGGTTTTGTGAGATGTGGAGGAGAGTGTTGTGGAGAGATGTGGTAATGGAGGGGGGGGATTCGAAGGACATTTCCCTTTTCCCCGTGTCTCAGGGACAATAAACCGCAGAGCAGGAATTAATGGGATGATGTTGTGATTTGTTGTACGAATATTAATTGACACCGCGCCGAACAATTAAAAAAAATACCGGTGAAGCTGTTCGAAGCCGCGGTTTCGCTTATCTTATCTGAATTATAGGCTGTTCAGGCTGTGACGTGGTGATTAAAGGCGCCCGAGTGGGTCACGATAGGCTAGGGATAGGGGAACGGGTGCTAGAAAGCTCGTGGCAGAAAACGGCAGGTAGACAAGTGGATGAGAAAGAAGCAAATTCTGATTTAAATCCAATTCGATTGTTTATATAATATCATTTCCAAGATAGATAATCACACCTTTCCCTTCGATTCGAACTCATCTCTTTCAAATGTCTTCCTTCCGAGGTTATATGCACCATAGTCGTGGGCATGAACGTACGGCGAACAGCTATCCACTCGCCCCACACAGGTACATATATACCAACCAGCCCCCTTAAATTCGAAAATAAGACGGGTCTGCGTTGGTTCAGCAGGCGGTGTCGGATCCTGCACATGCTTTATTTTGAACAAGAACTATTCTGTGGTTGGAATGCCCAGTTTAGTGGAGAATGGACGTCTATCTTCAACCAGAAAGTTAAAATTCAAGTTGACCAAACTTGTAAAGATTTTCGGGGGCTCTGGGTAGTACGACATGCCCTGACTGCATCTGCTGCGAACTGGCTCAGAGACGGAGGACATCATGAGCCTCCTGGGTATATAGTGGGCATCATCCCAGCTTCGTACTCAAAGTTGCGGATCCGATCGTACGGAAGTGTCTTCGTATTGATCCGTTGGGAATATGTTGCTTTTAGCGACAGTTTGTTCTTTAATTTGGGGAACCCAGATGCAAAGATGCATTTGCAGAACATCATGCATGCATGAACTACCGGTGCGAGCGGTGGGAGCGATGTGTTCATTGCCATTTTAGAACAATATCCATCGTGTCGATAGTGGAGCCAGAAGAGATGGATCAGGTTCTAGAAACCTAGCACTTGGGTGGCAAATAGTGTACCTGTCGATCGATAGTGTACGAATAGCTGAAAGGTAACTCTAAGACAGATCTTAGTTTACATCCTCTTCCGGCCGCCAAACGGACCACCTCTTCAACTTTCTGCGGATATCAATTCCAACTACCATTTTTGTATGGAACATTGTACCGGACATCATCCGAAGGTGAGCGAGTCTCAACCAATTTTATGATCGATGATGCTCTTCATTCAGCTAGGCTTCTCTTGAAAGACACCTTCGGTGACATTTTGGTACGACGATTTCCTGGTATAAGTATTTCTAACAGCATGCTAACCATATAATCGGATAGCTGGGCGAGTTTCCGAGTCGAATAGATGTACCAAGCCAAGTCAATAAGTTAGAAGCCATCACTTCGTTAAGCCAGTGAATCTGTTCTTCAATTGATCTCTACTTTTGGGAGGCTTCTGTCGTTGAATTCCAATCATTTGTCGTCAAGAGACTTCGTAGTCGGGATATCGACCGCGAGGATTTCTTCTCGGAGCAGGTGGTGGAGCATCGACCGTGAACTTCACAGTACGTGTAGTTTGCTGTTTCGATGACTCAATGAAGCCTGGTGGCCTTTCATAATTTGGGTAATAGCCAAACTTTGACTGCAATGGCTGCTTTTTGACAAGCAATTTTATATCATCCTGCGGCCTGGCTGGAGATATTTGGTATTGAGGCCCTGCTCGGGGTTTCTTATTCGGAAGACAACCAAATGCGAACTTCGGTCCACCTTTAAGTTCTGGAAGTGGTCTGATAACTTTTGACTCTGGCTGTTTCTTTAATGATCGGGAATGTTGAACAAGAAGGTAGTATCCAGCAGGTTTGTCCGTTGAGACAGGAATTGGAAGGTCCAACCTCATTTGTTCCTGCGGCTTTAGCTTTGGCAATGGCTCTTGAGTCGTGACGAATGTTGCATTGGAGTTTATGAGTCTCAGTTCGTCGTTAAGAGTAGATTCTAAAGATACAGGTTGGAGAAATGGAGGTAGTATCGAACGCCCGAAGTCCGGGTTAAATCCATGAGCACTCGCCATAATTGATTCAAGAAGATTTGATTCTAATCTCTCAGCATTGCAAATTCAAGGAGCAAATTTGGGGAAAGACAGGATATATAGAGAGTATTGGGTCTCAGTATTCGAGATGCAAGTCTAACACAATGTATAGTACAGATTCGAGACGCAGAAGGAGTGAGATTTTAGATATTGTAAGGCACAGTATCAAATGAAACGGTATGGAGTGTGAGGTGCTAGGCTTTTATACCTACTAGGTAGCCAAATTTGACCTAAAACTAATAACTGTCATGTCCCGCCAGAAAAAACCAGTCTTGATACCAATGATAATCTTAAACTAGATTTATACAATAGCATTATGCAATACATTGCACCGTGCAGAATCCAAAAATCGTTATCGCATACAAGCTTTGGACTGCCGATGTCATATACAAGCTTTGTGGTTTCACATCTTGAATCTGACATTCGGATGTTCGTTGGATCTTTGGAAACTTCGAAAGTTAAGATCTCTCGTGCAACACCCGGGATTGCAGCTTGGCAAATGCTTGTAGTCGTTGAATACTCTGACCAATAGGTCGGGATACATGTTCAATGGTCTTTCAATCGTCGTTTCAGAATTTGAGATGACATTCTTATCTTTGAAAGATGAGACGACCCGAGACCCAAGGGTTGCTGGAGATATATAGGTAGGTACCTAGGTAAAGAGATATATTAAATATATGAAGACGGATTAAATTTACGAGTTGGTTAGGGAATCCAAAACACTCTGAAGTTGTAGGATTCCATGGGAGTGGCTTAATGTGGCTGTGATTGTTGGTACTAGCGAGGCCGCGGCCATTGCATTAAGGTTGCACCACTTTTCGTGACCGCGGTCAAATTGTTTCCAACAACAAACCAAATCATCGTAGTATAGGAACCTAAGTAGGCAACAATTCGGATGAATATGTTCTCTGTACATTATTCGATATGCCTTCTGCAATTACTGTATCCGCCATAGACACAGAATCAGCGATATGTTCCGTGGAGAGCTCAGTTCAAACTGTCTTCGCAATCCCTGAACTTCTAGAACTCATCCTCCTCCAGCTACCATTTCTCGATCTTGTTCGAGCGCAAATGATTAACCCAAACTTTTATGATGTTATCGAATCCTCAAACTTACTACAACAAGCTCTGTTTTTTCGTGCATCTTCAGCTACATCATTTCCACGACCCAATCCTCTCCTTCAACCTTGTCATAACGCTCAGTTCCTAGACCTACGATCGACTCAAACACTATGCAGGTATCTACACAACCCACGAGGTCGGCGGATGGCAGATTGGAGCAAGTGGCCTGCTATAGATTATCGAGATGGATTTAAGTTGAATATACAACCTACAAATGAGGCTGTCAGAAGGAAAGAGGCTAGTTGGAGGCGTATGTTGATTGTTCAACCACCCATTGAAGAATTAGAAATGAATGGCCCACCATCGCGAAAGATTAGAGATCGATTTGGTGTAACAATGGATGAGCTGGGAAGCCCATTGGGCAAACTGAGATGTGTGGATTTTGAGATCTTTACAAGTGGGAAGTCCCGTATGATTGTTGAGAAGCAAATGAAACGCATGGCCCATTGACAATTTAGTGTTTCCTGAGTTATTCTTAGTCTTCAATACATGCAGAGATATCAATTTGATACTACTTATTTATTCTGTATAGGGAAATCAGGAGCGTCCCTCTCAAATGGTTGGGCGTTGATAGCTTCAGTGGTATGTAACCTCCACATTCAACGGCAGTAGATGCTTGACACAAAATAAATAACTGTTCGTACATTTTCACTCTGCCTCAATCCTTCCAGCAAAGTTTCTTTCACATGGCTACACTGGTTTTGATACTCTTTGTACCATGTTGCCATCATTATTCCCAGAACATCTATGTTTCCCCTTATGTCGATCATTGAAATAGTCAGGTGAAGAATTTGAATGATCATTATCTCAAATTGCAACCCTAAAATGCTCCCGTGAAAACAGGATACACACTAGCCATTATCTTACATTTTCCTGTCGAGATTTGAGATATCAATCGTTGAGCATCAGGAACTCCATTCCATACAATGCTTCAGTCCCGATCATAGCCGGTCATCACATCACCAGCTAAAGGCGACAGATGTTGATCTTTCCTAGAACTATGATGACTAGGCTCATGAGAATGTCGAGATCTATCACCATAGGGAGATCCTGTCCGACTTCCATGCCTACTGTGTTCTGGCGTCCTCTCTCTAGAATGCGGCACACTTCCAGAGCTTAACAGACGCCTCACCCCATCTCCACCCCTTAAAAATCCAACCATATCCGCAGGTCTTTTTCCTTCCTTATCTCTCGCCTTTGGATCTGCACCTGAATTTATCAATAGTCTTACCATATCCTCCTTCACTTTGGCATGTACTCCATCAATGAAGTCAACTCCAGCGATCGCTCGATGTAATGGACCTCTTCCCTTTTTGTCCCTGACTCTTACATTTGCATCGCTATTAATCAAGACTCTCACAGCCTCAACACAATCGTGTCGACACGCCAATAATAATGCTGTAGAGCCTTTCATATCCCTAGCTTCAATATCTGCTCCCTTTGCTAACAAATATTTGATTGTATGCGGATGGCCCCATCTAGAGGCAGAGAGGAGTGGTGTATTACCCCAACCGTCTTTGGCCTCCAAATATGCTTCATATTCTACCAAAAGCTTCACCATTTCCAAATCTCCGATCCTCGCCGCGATATGAAGAACAGTCTCTCCGCCTTTTGGTGCCATCGAAGTGTCAGCTCCAGCCTCCAGTAATAAATCAGTTGTTTTCACATGATGTGTTTGCACTGCCGCTATCAGAGGCGTAATATGTTGCGACCACACATTCACGTCTGTTTTCTTTACTACATCCTTATGGCGGGAACTTTCTGATCGTGGACGACGTGGAGGATCAAGGAGAATATCAAGAACCTCCATTTTTCCTGCACTACTAGCCGCGACGAGTGCTGGTGCCATATCTATCAGGTGATCTTGGGAAAGAATATTTTTGACTGCGCTTGTATTACCCTCATATGCTGCCTTTGCCAATTCGGTTGATGGAGATGTGGCTTTCTTCGAAAGGTAAGCGGTGACTTCTTTTATCGCTATCGGCGCGAAGGTCTTGATGATAGTATCCATATTGGTTGTGATATGATTGTAGTAATTATTCTAGTGGATTGCTCGCGTTGATATGTAAGATGCCCTGCTACACAATGTGTGACGTCCAGAAAATGCAGAGCCACAAAGCTGCTAGTAGCTTTTCAATTGATTGATTGATTCGAGACAAAACATCAGGATTTTTGAACGTGTCGCCACATAAAATCATGAATACAACCGGGTGAATCTTGTGTGTTTCTTCCAACTATCCAGGCAAAATGAGATTTCGAAAGTCGTTCAATTAAAATCAGCTGACTATTGAGGATATGTCTTGGAGATGTATCTGGATCATACGATGTCATCATCTCGATATGCAACATTCCAGCCCAACCCCGCGAAAATGACAGAATGCATGGGTCAAGTTTTTTACAGAGAATATGATTCGCCAGATGATTGTCTTCAAGACAAGTTTTGTACAACATCAGTTCAGCTGTAGCCTTGGCTCATCGTATGATGAAAAATCACATGGTCGGGATTGTGGCTTTCGGTTTGATTTGTTTGATGTATCAGATTCATGTGATTATTCCGAGATATATGGGTATTCAAGTAAATTAAATTGATAGAGCTGTTTACTTTCTTGGTTGTGAGAACTTTCTCAATCATCATTTCAATCCATAAGAATGATGGACCAAAATATCTTTAATAAAATCGTGTTCAAGCTATGGCATCTCCAATGAATACCCTATTGAGCTGTTTCTCAGCTAAAATATTGTTACCTCGAAGAACGAGGAACCTTATAGTATACCCAGTAGGTGACTCGTTTATACAATCAGAACAGGTCCATAGAACGGCTTCTTTGTCAAAAGCGTAGGTACCCAGCACTCGACACTGCTTATAGTATGACCAGAATTATCAACAACAATCACCTTTACCTCACGCTATAAAATTGATCCAAACGAAGCATATATAAATGGCAAATCACTCTTCTTACCTATAAACAGTCTTCATCATTCTTCTCCGTTGCTTCCAGATGGTGGCGCCAGCTCTTAGCAAATTCGAGATTTAATTAGAGAATACCAAAGTCTTTATCTACACTCTCACACTTCACGAATCATTCAGTAAATTGATGCTATTATAGATAGTTTCGGGATATCAATCACATGATCGCAGAGGGCAATGTGTCAGCTAGCGAGGTGCTAGCGCTTCCTTAAATAGCTACTAGCTTCCAATAATTAATGATGATCAAGAACGATTACAACTGTAACAGGCTAATTTACACTTATCAACCAGATACCAACAGTGAGGTTAGCTGAGAATGATTTAGCGTTGAATGAGATAGATCCAACGCCCAGATTAGCGAGTAAAGTTCAAAAACTACTTCTTCGGTGGGGGATTTTTCCAGGAGTCACTCCACAGATTCTCTGTTGAATAGGTTTTAATCTTTGAACTTCCAAGCTCGCTACCAAAAAGTATGCGAAATCATAGATTAAGTAGAGTTTGCAGAGAGAAAGAAGAGGAAATAATTATTCGTCTGCTCCTCTGAGTCCTCTGCTCTGGTGTCGATTATGATTATCTCAAAACATGCAACCAGTCAATAATAAATAGAGAATGTGCACTCACCGCGCTATTCATAAACATTAACACGCGTATGTGAGTAGAAATCGGGTGGTCAAAAGTCACCATGAAAGCTAGCGGGCTCGCCTATCCAACCGAACGACTAAGAATCATTAAGTTCTCACTATATTCGTTACATATCTGGGTACTTTACATAATAATTCACATGGATTCTGATCCGTTTCTGATATGCTGCTACCACTTATCAATCTCGTAACTCTGGTTTTGAGTCAAAGCTCCTTGCATATTCCGTTCGGAGGACGATTGCCGGCTTGGAATCACTGCATTTTTAGACATACTATTTCTTGGTGAAAGGATTGACTGTCCTACATGTACACTGGCTGGCATTATTCATCGAAAGATATGTTTTTCCATAGTTCCATAGTCTCAGTAAGATAGTCGTTAGAATGCAAGCCTTCGTATTCACTCTGAGATTTCCTCGTCTCTTTAAAGACTCGGATTACAGGCTACTATTAAAATCTGTATCAGAATCCGCACTAAATTTAATATATATTCTTTAGAAATAATCAATATAAATGTTCTCTAAGATTATGTATTTGAAAAAAAGTAAAGTATTTATAATTAATATCGATTCTATTTAACTATTAAATATAGTTTATTAGTATATAGATTATATTAATATATAAATCATAGTAAAGAGCTTTTTTAATAATTATGTTTCAATAATTGATAAATTCTTTAAAGAAAAATCTTGAATGATAATAAGAATCTAACTTTCCAAAAATCTATTTTTTATATAAATATTCTTATTATATCCTACGGTAAGTTACTCTGATGCTACTAAAAGTAAATTAATTTACTCTTATACTATTAAAATCAACTTAAATTTACTCTCGTATTACTTAGATTCTATAATAGCTAGTTTCTGTAGCTTTTAGATGAAAATCGATATTATTTACAATTAGAATCTTTACAAATTCGAATTTTCTAAAACTGATTCAAGTTTTCTAACTCATATATATATTTAGATATTTATATTAAATATTAAGGGAATTTTATTAATAAATAAATAAAGTATATAATTATATATGAATAAATTTTGTATAAATAATAAGATAATCTATATTATGTTGAAATGTTATCAGTACAGTAGCTGACTGAGCATAATAGCTTATTTAAAACTCTCCTCTTTTATAGAACCTTTAATCAATACAAGATTCAATAAATCTTTTTTTAGTGATTTATTAGTTTAATAGGTTATAAGCCTGGTTGTGTATCTTTTGTTAGACTGAGACAATGATATATTTGTTATTTCGATTATTAAAGTGTTACAGGGTATATATACAGTAGTAAGCTATCCGGACTCGATCCCTGATACTGTGCCTTTTGGACAGATTGCGTGCGTGGCGTAGTGGTAAAGCTTACAACTATTATTGTATTTCTGCTTACGTAACATAAAGCTTAGTAATTTGATTATCAATATAAACGCTAGAGTAGTTTAATTTCTTTCAATCATATTAATGATATGAAAAACCTTTAGTTTTGCTAGACTTGATAATAAGCATAAGGATTATATTAGATATAGTAAAAGTGATAAATAATGGATTCGATTTTAGTTTTGCTAGACTTTAGAATAGGTATTTAAGATTAAATTCTGATATATAATCTCTTGAAGTTATATAGCTTTACTAAGACTTTTAGAATAGGTATAAAGATTTTATAACAAGATATATAGTAAATGCGATAGTATGATAACTTTAATTCAATCTTATCAAACTTTAAAATAGGTATAAAGATTATTAGTATATACATAGTAGAGACTATTAGTAAGCATATTATAAAGATTACTAGTATATGTATAATAAAGATTATTAACAAGTAATTCGATATATAAAATCATTAAAATTATTTATAAATTTGATACTAGTACATAATAGAAGTAGCTTTTATTTAAATTTTCCATTTCGATTATCTTGAAATTTAAAGTGTTTATTCTATTTAATAATCTCGATTCAACAAATGAATAGATATAGATTAAGGGGTATATAAAGTAAGGAGTTATATAATACAAATCTATTTGAAGATATCAAATTAGAAAAGTTTTATATTATTACCTTTGCAACAAAAAGATATATTGAAATGTTGTTAGTATAGTAGCTGACTAAATATAATAGCTTATTCAGAGCTCCCCTTTTTTATAGAATCTTTAATAAAACCTTTAATCAATATAAGATTCAACGAATCTCTTTCTAGTGATTCATTAGTTCAATATATTATATGAACTTAGATGAATAACTTCAATTTAATAGCTACTATATAAAGCTATTGTATTAAGCTTTAGGCGAATGTGAAAGAGATTAGCTCTTGAGATAGAATATAATATAGACATTGAGAATCTACTAATATATAGGTGCTATTAGCTATATCTTTCGTATCTTTCTCTAATCAAAATATATACTAATATAATCTATATACTAATAAATTACATTATTTTTAGAAATAAGAGTTCAGGCCCATAGAATAAATATAATATTGACTATGTAGATTGAATCGTCTAAAACTAGAATCTAACTACGAAGTGGAAGCGATATTTATATTTTGCTAGTATACGTACTATATCTTTCCAATATACTATAGACTTGATTTATACTTTATATTAGAAGTTGTAGCGCGTGTGCTTAGCTACAGTGTATATATTATTTCCACTTTATAGTTATATTTCACCTTAGTAATCTATATAGTCAATAATACATACATTCCACTGGGCTGCTCCCCCTGTAGTAGCAGAATCCGTAATTGACGAATAAATCATTTCATTAATTATATTAAAAATTTTATTAATTAATATTATATTGAAAAAATACCTTATAAAATATTAATGTGATTAATTTACATATACATATATGATTAGAAATTTTTACTTTCAAAGGGATTTTTCGAAATTTTTTGATTTTCGAAAGCTTTAGTTTAAGGTTATTTGGAAGTGAAAAAGTTTATTTGTATTGAATTCGATTAATAATTAATAATTAATTATAATTATATATATTAGAGTTAATTTATATTTCTGTTTAAATAGTATACTTTATATTGTATGGTATAGTGGTAAAGCTTTTGATTGAAGAATAATTTGAAAGTAAATAATAAGGTGTGGAACCCCCTCCCCTTTAAACTTTCGGTTAAAGCATTCTCCCACTCTTTAGCTCCCCGTTCGCTCCCCTTCCCACTCTTTAGCTCCCCTGCTCATTCCCCTCCTCCTTCTAGTTTCTACACTCGTTCCCTTTTTGTCCACCTTTCCTAAAATCCTTCAGCTGAAGGGTCTTTATTTTCTTTATATTTATTAAAATTCAATAATAAATGATACTCATTTTGAATTAAAAAGATTTGTTGATGATAAAGAATATATTTCATCAAGGATGAAAAAAGCTTGAATTCAGTAATATATGTATCAAATATTTATATAGGAATTCATATTAACATTTTATTCGTATATAGATATTAACTCTACCACTACAGGGTCCTTTATTGTGAATACTTTAGACTTATATTATAGATATTACTCTACTTGATGTGCAGATCTTTATGAAGTTTGCTGTAAGAGTCACTATGCTCATCGAAAAGCCATGATTAGACTAAGAATGCTCCGTATTCCCACAATTACCCTTTATTCAATAATCACAACCCGAGGGCAATTGAGACTAAACTCTCCTGTGCCTTGAACATCTTTGTACAAATCAAAGGCCTCAACAGAACTGGCTGCCATACCAACTCGTTTAAATGTTTCGTCGATTTTCCTTAGTATAAGTGCAAAATATCGTGAAGTATCCTCCGGAGAGGGATAGAATAAGAAGTATTCCATGCCTCGCGCATGTAAGCAAAATAAAATTTCATCGATGTCTTCGTCAAAGTAGACACCCGCCTCGCTCATGCACAACTTGGTAGCTACAACTTTTCCCTCCCCCATTTTCCATGACTTGAGCACTCCTCTGATAAGCAAAGAGCCCTTGACAACATCGCCGAACTCATTCGATGTGGGACTGTACATCATTCTTACGTCGTCGACTTCAAGCGGGATCCTGGGATATGTCCGAGAACCTAAACGGGTTGTGACAGGGTCAATATTTCCAATCTGATCGGGATGCCAGAACTTAATTCGTCCGTTTACTGAAGCCCAAGACCAGGATGGTGCTCTATACAAAGTTTGACGAGAAGATGGAGCTTCAGCGTACCAGAAGATTTGTGTTCTCAAATCAGAAGCCCACAAGCCTGCCAGATAATTATCACCTGTCTTTGATTTAATCCATTGTGCACATCCAGAGATAGCTCTCAACTTATCACTATCATGTGTGAAGTTTCGGCGAGAATAGAACTCGACAGATTTTCGCCAATAGTCCATGCATGCTTCGCTTTCAGATGCGGCTCGAGTTCTCGTAATCTTTTGACTAGTAAGATAATCTGAGAGACGACCGGGAGAATCTTTGTGATGGCCGGTAAGGGGACTTAATGGTCCATTCGAGTTGATCAGTATCGAGGCACAATCCCACCCCACTTGGTCCTTGTAGAATACAATCGTTCTTGGTGATAGGACACGCTCTTGAAAGGTCCATCCACGAGTATTCAAGGGTTCATTGATACGATCATTGCCTTGCTGATTGTTCTCAAATACAATACTAGCAGTACCAAGAGAACCGTCCTCTAGGTCATATTTAATGATACAATCTGACTGCATCTCTGGATTTGTCTTTGGGCATTGAAAGATTCCTTCATAAACAGACCCAGCTGTAGCGGCTGCAATGGTTAAGGTAGCACTCCCATACACCTCGTGCATTGTTATACATTCACGTCTCAAGTCTTCCCCATCGTCGCCTTCTTGAATGATACACAGAGAGTCGATCCAAAGGAACTCGAACCCAAGATTTCGAGTAATCTGAACCGCGTCTTGCAAGGTTTTAGGTAGAACAGGCATAGGGAATATCACGCTCATATTCGGTAGTTTTGTCATTTCCTTGGTGAGAAGAATGTTTTTTCGCCTTCCCCAACAGTAACTGAGGGCGATATAAGCGCCTTCGTAACCAGCCGGTGGAGTGAAAAGTGCTGGCTCAAGCCCATCATGAGCACCAACTCTGATGACGCGAGTTGGTAGGCGAGATATCACAGGGGAATTAATGGTGCAATTCGGATGGCAAAGAATGCACTTGTTTAACCATGATTTTATTAATCTTGAACATTCTTCCGAAGCAAAATCCTCAATGAACGGCCTTCTCAAGAGAGATTTAGCTGCAATATCATCTATTCATTTTAGTTTTCTATAACTCTATTTACTGGGATGATATAACTGACCAGCGGTTGTTAAAAGTGCCAGTGTGTGAGAGAAAGGGTTGTCCACATCTCTGTCGCAGCCGTTCAGAACTCTTATAGACTCGATATCCCCTACATTGGGATGTGCAGAAAGATTCGATGGTAGAATTCGACGAATACCATGCAGACGCACAGGCATTGATGGAGGACCGAGATCGAAATTCTTCTCAAGTAGGATACAAAGAGGGCAACCAGACTTTGCAGCGACAAGTATTTCACCTAGTGTTCCATGCGTGAAACCATTACTATTTCGCAATGATGCAATATTCAGTGTTTGGCATTTGTAACAAAGCTTTGTATGTGGATTTTTTGAAGATAGAATTGTTGAATCGCTTGACCTTAATGATAGAGATCTAAGAGACTCTGTCAGAGAATTGATTACGAGATTTGCCTTTTGCTTCAGATACATATTTTCGTAGATTCGGTCAAGTTTGTAGGTCAAGCAATCAATAACAACTTCAACATACTGAAGACCCTGTCGTCAAATTTAAGCCGGATGTCATTTGAATGTTTGGTAACACCACTTTGAGGCTGTATGATCTGTGGTACGAAAAGCGTTTGACTGTGGGAATTATTGGATATACTTGCACGACCAATCGCGAAGCGTATGCCATGTGCCGTACAAGCGCGGGTGTAAATCCTTCATATTTGCCCAAAAGAAGAGAGAAAACCGAATGGAAGTGACCCAATTTCAGAATGAGGGCGATCCAAACCATGACTTAAAGAACTGCAATCCTTACATCGAGCGATATATTTCCAGGTTTTCTACACTGCAATATGACAAAGTTCAGACACAAAAACTCGTTGGGATCTGCATTATGTATACTGTCACTCAATCCAGATTCAAGTAGATATCTATAATCACAAGGAAATAGTATTGGCCGTATAACCAATATAACTTTCTCAAAAATAATCTGAAAAAAGATTAAAACTTCGCTATCAGTAGGCATCAACGCACTTTCGTCTGAGACTAAGAACATCTTTGGGGGGATGAATCTCCAAGTCTGGAACTAAGAGACAAAAAGTGAATTAAATTTTTTATTCTACGCGTAATGAACGTTGAATGTGATATAGAATTAAAGGCAGACAATATCAACACAACATGAACCCCCTCGTCGCTTAACAAAGGAGGCTCTAGATTTGCCGTAGCGAAATCTGTGAGCAGTTTAATTTGAATGAATTTGGTTACGCATAAGAGAAGTTGTGAATCTACGGCAAAAGAAGATAGCCTAGCTTGGAGCGGCTAATTGCTGTAAATTTAGATGGGGTCAGCAAGCAATATACCAGTATTTAGTTCAAAATTGTCGATTTACGCCATTACAACTGCTCCATGACGTCGGCTATCCTTAGACATAGTCCAAGATCCGGAAGTGAATCTGGAAGATAGTATGATTTCTTTTTTATCATGCAATTGCCTGGGAGCCAGTGGGTTAGGCAGTGAATACCTTATCTGCAATGGCTTCATGTATACATAGTCCCTGCCCGAAGGACAATCGTAACGAACAGACAGCCGTATCTTCCCGAATGATCAATAGCATACTCCCTAAACAAGCTATCATGGGCAATAATGATAGCAGAAGTTGAGGATACAAAGCCAAAGCACAAGCGATTGACCAAGAAAGGACCCTCCACACACGCCCCAACTAGCCCCAATAATCCAAAAACAAACCAGATCATTCCAACTTCCACAGAGATTCCATCAAATAGGGAGGATCTCGAATGGATAAGTAACGCGGGAGCTAAATGCTCATAGGTTCTCGAGAGCCACGAAGAGAGACCCTTGACGACCCCCAGTAAAGCTTTTACACCTCCAACGCCATCACAGCGGTACTATCCCCCTCCTAATCAAAACGCAAAAACAATCTCTGCGACAGAATTTGTACGTTACCAAACTCTAAGATAGAGTCGGATATAAGAATACTGATTTTTTTCTCTGGTACTTTAGCCAGTATTGACCGATGAGCGAAATGAGGGGGGAGGTGAATGATGATATGAAAACTTGGCGAGAATGTTTCAGGGATGGGGTACAATATAAATGCTATCTTGCCTTTTGAGGTCTTTCTTTATGGTAGGGGATGGTAGATTACCGTCCATTGATTTTGGGATCGTAAAAATGACAACTACTCATGTGCATTGCGAGGCTAGTAATTAGAAAGATCTAAGAAACCTTTGCTTCGTAACATCACGAATAGGACAAGATAATAGATTTTACCTCATCAATACATGAGTTACGGCGTAAATAAGATTGGGCTGCAATACTATTTGATATTACTTCTAGATGTATGTAACAAGAGCAGGAAAGAAGATGCTGGTAGACAACGGTTTCACATACAAAATGAGGATGTAATTTTGATGTGGTAAGTTCAGATATTTTAGATATTCCTGAAGATGTAAATCTTCACATAACACTGACACGGCTGCCACTCATCAAACTGAGGTCATCCATCCCATTACATTCCGAGCTCTCCTTTTCAACCAATAAATTATACAGTTTCATAATATCAAAATCTCACGCTCTCCATCGTACATACTACAGTCCGTTCTCACACTTTTCAAGGCCGACCTTTAACGAATTATAGTATAACACAGTCCAAACACTCTTAGCCACCTCTTCCCGTTACCGGCGTTCGCCTTCAGTGGATCTTCTTCCTTCACTTTGATACCATATTCTTTGATATAACACTGAAAAGGCTTATTTTTGGGCTTAAGGTCTTGTGGTATCTCCACCTGCTCGGCCCGCTTCTCAACTTCGATATTAGAATCTGTCTCCTCAAGCACGACAGGTCTCTCGGGTCCTTTGGTTTGATTTTGTCGGGTCAAATCATCGGCTTCGTCCTCTGAATCCACTGGAAGACTGTGATTAGTTTTTCTAAGATCATTTCCTTCGTCTTCAGATTCTGAATCTGTAACCCTGGAAGCCTCGGGCGCCACTTTTTCTGCTTCTAGTTTCTCGTGGGCTTTCTGTAAAAGCAGAGCAGATTTTTGCTCCTCCAAATCTCCCCATAGCTTAAAGAGTGTTTCTTTAACATCTCTAAGCATTCCTGGATTTGTTCGTAGGCTTCAACGGTATATTAGCTTTACTTGTTCTAGGTAGACAAACAAACATCAGAGTTGAACATACTTGCAAGCATCGCCTTGAAGATTGAGTAACATCTGCGCATCATAATTTTCTACCCTAAGAATAGCTCTCTCTTTAGAAGCATTTGGGTTTGCATCTTCAACTACAAGCGAGAAGAACCATTCCCATTTCCTTTCTACGTAACCCTTGCCTTCGCGGAAACTTTGCATATCTTCCATTGGATCATCATCTTCATCACCACTATAATCAGATAACACGTCGAATTCGCTGATTTTACGACCAACTGCGAAGTCGGCAATATTGTGAGGTAAGTAATCTACAACCCGAACATTTGCTTTGTAGATATTATTCTCGAAGGGTGCGTTGATTCCTGCGAATTTGGGATCTGAAGAGATGGGCGACGTGCGTCGCAGAATACTTGACAATGGTATTATGTCTCTTGCAGTCAGAGAAGGATGTAGCATCACTGTCGAATTGTTAGATATTAGACCATTATAGCTTGAAAACTTACCATTTTCGTTCAAGTTAAGCTCTATAACAGCTTTCATCTCGCTGGAAGCACTTTTAGCCTCTACCTTGGCTCGCAATTCTTTCCTTCGCGCTTTAGAATTTTTCCCGCTTGGTTGTCCCTCTGCTTTGCGCTTAGTTCCTGCCCCCGAAATTTCTTCTTGGAGTCTCTTTCTTTCCTTCTCGTGCTTTTGGGTCCAATCACGCTTTCGTCGAAGACAGTCTTTCCATCTGGGATCATTGTTCTGAGGATCTTCAGAAGTTTTCATGATCTCGACTTGAACTTTACCATCAGATGCTCCTCGATCGCCACGAAGCTTACCCTCCATAAGACCTGCATTGCCTGATTTAAATTGGACATTAGTCAAGCGGAGCCACTGGCCTTCCTTAATATTTTCCTCTCGAATAAACATGGCATGGGCGTCGAATAGTGTGAGCTGAATGGTCATTTTCCCGAACGGACCTTTCCATTCTTTTGCTTCGTCTTTGGGCTTCGCTTTGATATATCCATATTCATCGCCATCGCGACCTTCCATCACGACACTCGATAGCCCCGGTAGTGTATAGTTGTAAAATCTCGAGTGAGCTGTGTAGTCGGTAAAGTAAACGGTGACCATATCGTTGTTAGCTCCATAAATCTTTCTCACTTCACCTATGATGTCGTGAAACGAGCCGTCTTTGACATCTTTAAGTAGACTGAACTTATCCCTGACCTGCAAAGCTTTTTTTGCCTTTTCCTGAAATTCTTGAGTACCAGGAAACTCAACTTCATCAAGATGTTGATTTGACCATATCACATACTTAGTCTCGATTGGTTCTGGACGTCGGCATCTTGCTGGTGGTGTTGAAATCCACGAAGCTTTGATGACGGGGAAAATAGCTTTAGGGATGTGCTCAGCGTGGAGTATGTGGTATTCAGTACTAAAGTGGGATAGTAACTGTATCTCCCCATTACGCAATTGAACCTTGATTCGTCAATTGGTAGCCAAATGGTATACAAAAGGAGAGAGAAATACCTTTGCACTCCGGATAAGCACAGCATCCTTTTGCTTCTGGATTTTTGGCATCTTGTCCTCTGTTGCAAAAACACTCATCCTCAAGCCGAAGCGCTCAAATCGCGAGGAATAATCTTTGATTTGAAAACTGCATTTGAAGTCTGCATGATTGTGTCAATATTGGCTGACTTACACAGCAGAAGTGGATTCAATCATTATCCGATGATCACCTACCTGTTCCTTTGGTTTGGATAGGTGGTTGATGATCCATCACAAATCCTATTACATTGACAAATTGTGGCTTTACAACTCCACCTGGTAGAATTTCAAAAGTCTTAATCTGCTCAATAGTCTGAAAGCCCTTGGGAGTGACGACCTCAGGCTTAGCTATCTCCTCCATCGTGTCGACGTTTTGCATATTGTCCATTCTTGAATACTTCAAGAGAGTCTTGGCGACACTTCACAACCGCACTTCGCAAGTTGTGTTCCTAGCAGTGATGTTCCCTCACCCTAAAAAGACAACAAATTTTCTAGTTGCTCATAGATCTGGAGATATGAGCTTTTGGTGTATGTAGCAATTGAATACCAAGTAATCCTTCTCATGTAAGGTGTATTTTCATAGCTTACTTGCCCTGTCCTCTTCCTGGTGAATAAATACACTAAATTGATCAAATCTGAAGTACCTAATTCCCGCTCGACAAATGAACAGTAGTGAATACTGCTATTGTCCTAAGCCTCTAGTGCACAGGAAATGTACCGAAAGTGTCCACGGGTATTGATGAATGGCTCATTCAATGTATGGAGCGTCTGCTTCCTGCCGTACTTGCTCTTTCCCTATAGTCTGTTTCGCATTCAAGATATACCTAGTAAAATTACTGTTCCTGTCTTTCGTGTTTTTGCCAGCTATTGCGAATATCCTCTTGCTTGTACTCGTACATCCGTATGAATAGACGCGTTAATCGAATCTCTGTGTGTAGGTAGACGCGACCAAAAGCTTAATAAGAAACTTTGTCACATGTCATGTCATGACATGTCAGAAACCGTCTAACCAATCAACGTGAGCCAATAAGAAAAAAGAATGAATCGTAAGAAGCAAGCTTCGAGTATTAGTCACCATTGATGTTTCGCTAAGATCACGTTTCAAACTAATCTTTACCGCTTTCAGCTTGGAGGCGGATTGTTCCTCTTCTATTCTTTTGGGCCTTCTTCTCAAACCATTTAGAACCCAAAGAATCTTCTATAATTTTTCCCCATCTCTCTTCATTCACTACAACAAATAAAATCAAACTCCAAATAAGATTTTATCCTGCGGCCTAACTGTAAAGGTCGTTCCTTATTTAAGCCTCCTACTTTCTTTTACAACACAACAAAACATATCACTCTCAGTCATATCGCAAGCATGGCTGAACGTTATATCCCAGAGCATCGCCGAACTCAGTTCAAGGCAAAGAACACCTTCAAGCCTGAAGAATTAAGACGTCGTCGCGAAGAACAACAAGTCGAGATTAGAAAAGTCAAGCGTGATGAGAATCTTGCAAAGAGAAGAGGTATTACAGCAGGAGATGGATCTTCACGACCTGGTGCCTCTTTGGGTGCTGAGCCTGATAGTGATGATGATCAACCTCCCACGGAAAGTCAAGTAAGTCAAGATCGCACAATCTTTTCCGTTTAACCAGCACACTATTCGCACAATACTCGACCTTTACGATTTTTACGATTGTGCCAATACTTCTTTCGATATACCCCACCACTGTGAACTTCCTACATAGCTTTCAACTATTTACTTTCCTTGGTGGGGTAGCAGCTGTGTCCTAGTGATAATGTTTTTCGCTTCTGCGATTGACCCTCTATCACAGCTTTATCGCGAGTCTCATTGCTAGGTTTTGGTTTCACAACTTAAACACATATTTGTTCCTTATCAAATACCCTGTCCATCATGGCTAATCAAAAATTCTTTTCATAGTTGAACGATGACCTTCCTTTAATGGTACAAGGCGTATTCTCAGAACAAATCGATGCACAAATTCAAGCCACAACCAAATTCAGAAAGTTGCTTTCAAAGGAAAGAAACCCTCCCATTGAAGAAGTTATTAAGACTGGTGTCGTTTCACGATTTGTCGAATTCCTTCGTTCTCCTCATACACTTGTCCAATTCGAGGCAGCATGGGCTCTTACAAATATCGCATCTGGTTCTGCTCAACAAACCCAAGTTGTCATTGAAGCTGGTGCCGTTCCAATTTTCGTCGAATTACTAGCAAGTCACGAACCAGATGTTAGAGAACAAGCTGTTTGGGCTTTGGGAAATATTGCTGGTGATAGCCCATCATGCAGAGATTATGTTTTGGGTTGCGGTGCTCTTAAGCCTCTCCTCGCCCTTTTGGGTGACAGCAGAAAATTGAGTATGCTCCGTAATGCTACCTGGACTCTTAGCAACTTCTGCCGTGGAAAGACACCACAACCTGACTGGACCACCGTAAGGACTTCTACTCTTCACCCTTTATTATGCTAAGACTTACATTTACAGCAGATCTTACCCGCTCTGCCAGTTTTGGCTAAACTTGTTTATTCTTTGGATGATGAGGTTTTGATTGATGCTTGTTGGGCAATTTCATATCTGTCCGATGGCGCCAATGATAAGATCCAAGCTGTCATTGAAGCCGGTATCCCTCGTCGTCTCGTGGAATTGTTGATGCACGCCTCTACCTCTGTTCAAACTCCTGCCCTTCGTTCTGTTGGAAACATCGTCACTGGTGATGATGTTCAAACCCAAGTTATCATCAACTGCGGTGCTCTCCCAGCCTTGTTGTCTCTCTTGAGCTCAGGAAAGGACGGTATCAGAAAGGAAGCCTGCTGGACCATCTCCAATGTCACTGCCGGTAACTCCACCCAGATTCAAGCAGTTATCGATGCCAACATTATCCCACCTCTCATCCACCTCTTGTCCAACGGTGACCTCAAGACCCGCAAGGAAGCTTGTTGGGCAATTTCCAATGCTACCTCCGGTGGTCTTCAAAAGCCAGAGCAAATCCGTTACTTGGTTAACCAAGGTTGTATCAAACCACTTTGCGATCTTTTGGCCTGCCCGGATAACAAGATTATTCAAGTCGCTCTTGATGGCCTTGAGAATATCTTGAAGGTTGGTGAGATGGATAAGGATGCTGCCGGAGAAGGGACTGAAAGCATTAACCGATACGCTTTATTCATCGAGGAATGCCATGGTATGGAGAAGATCCACGACTGCCAAACCAACGCAAACGAAGAGATCTACATGAAGGCATACAATATGATTGAGAAGTACTTCTCTGATGAGGAAGAAGGTGCTGATGATGGTCAACCACAAATTGCTGGTAATACCTTTGGTTTCGGTACCAATGGAGAACAATCTGGTAACTTCAACTTCGCCAATGGTGGGGATTCGATGGACATGTAAACTCTTCAAAGAGTCAACAAATCCTCTAGCTTTTAGCTATTCTTTCTATCCAGAAAAATCCTCTAATACGACTTCTAATAACAAATTGACATTGTTGTCATGAACAACAGATCGGACCTTAAAGTTCTGGCCCCGATACTACTTTTCAATCTGCGACTGCGAATCAAAAACACGTCAAATTTTTATCCACCCTGAAGCACATTTTTTCCCCCCACGATGTGACCAACGATCAGCAAAAGATTCACCATCATGTATTTCCCCTTTCTTACTGTTCTTACACAGCCCCGGCACGTCAACGGCGTTTTTGCTTACTCTTTCTATGAGGGCTTTTAACTCGTCTGTTTTTTTCTCCCCCAAATTCAAAGTTTTTGCGACATCGAGACATGGTAGCTTGAAAGCGACATGATTCTCTCCCGGAGTTAAGATGAATGATTTTTTATGCAAGTGACACATTAGTATGATACGATGTGTGATGAGAATGGTAGCTTGAAAGCTCCTACTCTGGATGAGATGATGTGATAAGGTTTGAGATGATTGACGGATCATCTGAGTGGATAGGCATACTGTGATGCCATTCAAGTAGGGGGTAAATAGAATTCGTGTCTGAGAGGAAACGACGAGAGAATGGAGGTGGTGGGGGTGGATAACATAACATCACAAACAAGATATCATATGAATAAATGGTTGATTGACTATACCTGATTGATTTATTTGTTTTGTCTCATGTATGTGATTTTGATTGTAATTGTAATCGTACTTGTGATGTTGAATGGTACCTATTTATATTGTACAACATAGTGACTACAGCTAGGTGCTAGGTATATTATCCCCATCAAGCTTTCCAACTAGTAATTCGCCCTACTAGAAATGTGAAGGACTGTATTATCATCATCATCAATTTCCAATTTCTTCATTTCGTTCTCTATACCTCTACCTATACCTATACCGCTACCTCTACCTATGCCTAGGTAGGTATACCAATACCTAATTCTGAACCTGAACCTGACCTATCCATACGCCTATCCATACGCCTATCCATACGCCTATCCATATGTTTATGTATATATGTAATATATATATCTATGTATATATACCTATAAGTACAAACATACTACTAGGGTATCTAGTACCTATATAGTACAATTACCTAGTACGATTACCTAGTACCTAGTACCTAGTACCTAGTACAATTACCTAGTACAATTACCTAGTACAATTCACCCGTCTGCTCTGCTCCGCGCGCTACCTAGCTCCTGAGGTCTCTATGTAGAGATGGATGGATATATAGATAGATGAATAGATGAATAAATAAATAAATAAATAAATAAATAAATAAATAAATAAATAGATAAATAGATAGATAGATTCTTGAGAGGAAAACATAAACACAAACACATACACCAAAAAAGGAGGCTTGTTCTTCATCATTTCTTTCTAGCTATTTTTGTTTCTGTTTCTGTCTGTCTGTCTGTCTGTCTGTCTGTAGGTAGGTAGGTAGGTAGGTAGTACTCTGTCTGTTTGTCTGTCTTTTTGTCTGTCTTTTTGTCTGTCTGTCTTCAAGCGCGTCTATATAGTCTATCCGACCACGCGCTCACTCGATGCCGTAATGTGATTTTATTCAAATATATCATGCTCGTGCCGCTGTGGAGATGAAGAGGGGGGGAGGGAAAATAGAGAAGAGGAAGATGGGCAAAAAAGGTAAGAAATTGAAAGAGAAAAAAGGATGCCTGAATCGAAGATGGAAGATATTTCAAAGTCTTCTCATATCCATCTTCGTCCTGAATGTCGCCCCAAATGCCCAAATAGACTGGACCAAACCAAAGCAAGTAAATCAAAGCACCCTCTCTAAACCACAGCTTCTTCATCGATTCCACCATTTTTCTTAATGACCTTATCCGCCTCCTTCTCAAAATCCTTCAACACTTTCGCTTCCGAACTTATACTTCTACTCCCATCCCCCTCTACCCCCCTATGATTATCCGCCATGCCGCTATCTCTTCTTCCTTCCGCTAAACTCGTATTGTCAATCAGATCCCGCGCACGATCAGAGAGTCCAACGATTTTATCCTGTTCCTCAAATCGATCGACGACCTTGCTCTTACCCAGCTGTTTCCGTTCTTCCTCGCTTGTTTTTCCGCTACCAAAGACGCGGGCCAGCTCCGCGCATGCTTCTTCATAGCAGCGATCTGCGGCTTCGGGGAATTTCAGGGGATTGGGTTTTTTATCGAAAGCGTGGGGGACGCAGTTTATCAGGCCGCCTTTGACGGATTTGCCGATTGCGGAGGAGGAGAGACGTTCGCCAAAGGCAACGCCTTCTGCGTTTAGCATGTCGTATTCGCAGGTGTAGAGGACGATATCTTGGGGATAGGCGTCGCGGAGAAATCCATCTGTGGCGGCTGCCGGGGAAAGATAGGGATCGCGGAGATCGATGGAGTCGATGGGGTTCATGTAAGATTGGTCGAAGAGACGGGTGAGCATTGGAGGGAGGTTCTTTTCTGGGGCGGGATTTGTAGCACGTTTCTCATCGCGGGTTTGACGGAAATCAGTTGGGGGGTAGAAGGAAACTATGGCGCGGAGAGTGAGGTCGGGGAGTTCTTGGGCGATTTCTAGAGCGGTGGGCTCGAGGGAGGGGATTTTGGCGATGGATGTTGTGGATTGGTTTCGGCTTTGAGGTTCGCCTTGATATGGATTGGGGCGGAGATGTGAAGTGAGTGAAGTTGATGATGCGGCCGCGGATGAATCATATTTTACTTTATCGAGATCTTGCCGACTTGTATTTGTAGAGGGCGTTCCATCTGCATGTGTAGTTGCACTTGTCAAATCTGCGAGTGTACGTTTTCCCGCATCTTGTCTTAAATCGTGCAGCATTAGGGGAACTGTGAATGCAAAGTTTCCACCGGCGCTGAACCCAGATAGTGCCATTCGATGAGGATCTAATCGTAATTCTTCTGCGTGTGCGGCTAGATATATAACGGCATCGGTACCATCTTCGACTCCTACACTAAATGGATACTCGGGCGCAAGACGATATTCCACACTGACGAATACCGCATCGACCGTGTGAATAACCGCAGAAGCCCATCTCGCATCATCGGTTCCTGTTCCCAAAGTAAACCCCCCTCCGTGATAATTTACTACGACGGGAAACCGACGTTGATCTTCATCTGATCCTTCGATATATGATTGTGGAACATAAAAAATGAGGTTGAAATATCCCCCGCGGGGACATAATCTTGAGGGGATTCGGATTTTAAAATTAGGAGCCGGAGGTTTTGGATCTGCGAAATGATGGAATTTCATTCCAATGGCCATAAGGCCTCGCCATATTGTGGCTTTCATATTTAAAAGCCAATTGGAATCTGAATCTGCGTCGTAATATTCGTTTGGCATTAAAGAGTCCTTTTTCAAGGACAAAGTGGTAAGATTCGAGGTAAGATTTGAGAGAGATAAGATACAGAAATGGAAGTCTTGGATGGTGCGAAATGGGAAGGGATATCAATGTAAATAGTCTCTGTGAGAGAGACCCAGGTAGATGTCGGAAAAGTAGACGTCGGTGGAGTTCAAGACAAGAGTTGATAAGAAGTTAGAATGGCTTGGATGATGATATTTGTGGATAAAAATCAAGGGATCAAGGATTGATGATGTTCATATACGAGTAGGTAGATGGTGAGCACTGAGCACTGGGCACTGATGAGATGAGGAGTGAGGAGTGAGGAGTGAGGAGTGAGGAGTGAGGAGTGAGGAGTGTGAAGAGTGAAGAGTGAAGTGTGTGGACAGTGAAGAGTGATGAGTGAAGAGTGAAGAGAAAAAGAATATAAATTATTGAAATGTTGCCGGCTTTATTATTCTTATTACTCTATTACTGCGCCGGGTCTTCTATTTTGGTAGAAGGCGTAAAGGTGCGAGGTGTGAGGTGATATTTGTAACAAGTTGGGTATGTCACTGGGGTATGTCACTTGGATACCAGTACTTGCCTGTACTGACTGCACTTCCTACATGAACATTCTCTCATCCGCATCCACGCATACACGCATGGAAGAAAATGATTTGAATTGATTTAAATTGATTCTTTTCTCTTCCTTTTGATTTCAATATTCCTCTCATCTTGTCATCTTGTTAACCTTTGCCCCGTCGACGCATCACATACCAGGGATCCAATTCGTGGGAAATCCAGAGAGAGGTATGAAATGAGAAATTAATTCTTGGAGGGGAAAAGAGTGAGCCGTGAGTTCGGAATTGGAGTGAAAGACGTCATTGTTGTCAAATGGTCGGGGTTCTAGGTCGGGGCTGTGCCAGGTGAGAGGTTGTAGTCATCAATGCAAAGATGTCTGAGAATTGTGGTGTGATATTATTTTGATTGTTTGTTTTCAAACATCTCACGTGTTTTTAGACGCGTGGCCAGAGAGAATGCAATAAAGACGATGAAGATAAAAGACACGTGATTCATCAACACATGACAAAGGAAATTGTCATCAATGTCGCTCCGCTGGCCCTCCGGGAGCCACTGCCGTGGAGGCTTTCTCGCTTTGCTCGAGAACTAGATCTGAGAGAGTCGATGTATATATATATATTCTTCTATTTATGTTACTGGAGCACGTGAACAATAAAAATATCTTGAATTGACGGAGCAAGCAAGTGAAACTTCCAAATAACCAGTTTGATAAAGCCACAATCTTGGCAGGTACGGATCTCCATAGTGATGAGTGTGTCATGTCATGTAGGTAATGATTAAAAGTGTTGATAGTCCCTGGGCAGTCTCTGTTGCAATGATTCACCAACTCTGTCGACCGTACCGGTATTTCACTCTGTGAGGTAAGGTTTGGTAGAATATACACCCTAGAGGCTAGAAAAGGAGTCCGGAGATAATCGTCCGCATTATTTGTACTGGCCGGGGGTTTGTGGCTAATCTACTCGTATCTGTGGCAGTGATGCAAATCTTGGAAGCCCTCCAGCTGTGTACATTAACCATCCATGGAGAAAGAAGCTGGACCAAGGATTAGCTGAAAATTGAAGGAGATGTGAAAATTACCTACCCTCCCACCATGTGTTTCCCTTGTATCATATTCCCACTCTTGAGCCACTCGCCGACCGACCTGACAGAGCAAAGTCCGATACGTCTACCTACCTAGGCAAGGTAAGATCAGCCACTCCATTCTCTTCATATAATCCCCATTCTTACCTCACGAGTCACGAGTCACCACCCAACCCGGAGTCGAGTACGGCGCAGAAGATTGGTCGAGTCTAGAACTGCATCTTCCACTGATGAGGAATCTTCGTTCCATAATCGATCATTGTGCGGTAAGACATGCACCTTTTACTTGAATTCCATGACAGTGACTATTCGACCCCGAGATCCAGTTATTCTCATGTCTCTTTTTGACCATGTAACCGATGTAACGGCCACCTCGCGATGTTGATACCAACCAAAGACCAAATCAACAAGGATAATTCCAAGTAGTTTTTGGGTCTGGTAAACATTGGTGAATCCACACTTCTCTCTCCCGCGGCTACATGAACGAAGAAGGATGAAAAGAGATGCCATTAGATGTCCTTTGCGTTGTTGTGTCTCAGTTAATCATCTGGTCTCTGGTCTTTTTGACTGTGACTGCTGTGTTATTAATCTCTTTTCGTCTCGTTGCACCAATTCATCTTTTGAGCTGTGACACTTGTATTCATTGTATAGTGACGAACTCTGACATCATAGTAATTTTTGAGTGGCCCTCCAAACCCAAACTTCACTCAGAACAGCCAACTAATTGATCAATGCACAGCTACGATAGTCGAGGGAGAAAGGTATGAATTAAAAGATGGGAAAAGATTTCTTTACTTCCCAAATTATTGAATTGCATGTGGATGAATACCAAGAAGGGCTTGAATTGAGGAATTCTTCGGCAGCTAGAGTGAATGGGGCATGAGATCGAGGTTCCCATCATAAATGTTCATCATAAGCTTTGAAGCCTTGCATATTGGATGCTTAGATTAGGAACGCCCCAGTCCCCTCCAAGTTTTTGGGCTTTTCCCTAAGGATGGATCGATCTCACCACAATAAGAGAAATAGAAATAGAAATAGAAATAAAAATAAAAATAAAAACAAAAATAAAAACTAGATTTGTTTCATCATCTTCCTCTCCCTCTTCCTCTTTCTCTTCCTCTTTCTCTTCCTCATCAAGAAGGGATATCAAATCCAAGTTTGAGATTAATAACAAGAGGATCTTATCTATCTTGCAATCCTCTTCTCTTTCTCTTCCTCTTCCACTCTATTTACCAAAACAAACATAATCCTCCCATCTTCCCTATCACCCCGCATACCAACCTCTTTACTTTTCTTTCATCAGTCACCAATCAAAGTCCAACGAGATCCAACTTCAAGGTTGACTCAACAATCACCATCACCGAAAGAGAGACAGAGAGAGAGAGAGAGAGAGAGAGAGAGCTTATTCTCTAATCTCACTCCGTAATTCCGGCTCTTCCGTCAACAGCTAGCTTTGATCCAACCCCCAATTAATAAGTGCCGACGGTCTATGGTTAAATACTTCCAAACACATCTCTCGGTATTAATCATCGTACTGCAGTGGGATCTGCAACTTACTCGCGTATAACCTTTTATATCTATCTAATTAGCTTCCGTTCAACTTTCGACAGAAGACAAAACACACACAAACACATATTCTCATCATGTCGGCCCTCAAGAAGCGCCTCAGTAAATTGATCCCAGATCGCATGGGCAAGAGTAATAACAATAGCAACAATTCGAGCAACGAAAATGTTCCACAGCTTGCAGATGGAATTGAAGGTTCCTCTGGATCCAATGGACCATTATCAAGCACCCCTCAAAACAATGGTGCTCAAACGCCAGAGCGATCAAACTCCCGACGAGTGAGTCGAGAGATTCTTGAGCAGAATAAGGCGAGAAGAAGCATGGATAAGGAACGTGCAAAGGCCGAGAATAAGAAGAAGCAATCTCTGGCAAGAATAGAAGATGAGAAGTTCTTGAAAGAAGGTCCGGCAGCTCTCACACAACTTTATCGACCATACAGTATGATTCAAAGTAAACATTGGAGACATGAGGAGAGAGCCCTATTCAAGAACATCAATTGGGCTGGTAAGTTGGCATTTTTCACTGCATACTTTCATCTGCTAATACTCGAATAGAAATGGATGGAAAAATCATTAGTTTCAGAGCTCGAATGCATACTTTGCGAAGAATGTCTGCCAAATTGGTATTTATCGTTTTCCGTCAACAGACTATGACAATTCAGGGAGTTTTGCAAAGCTTCAAACCTGAGGAAGAACAAAATGGTAAGTTTTATCGTGAAAATTGCCTCGAGGAATACATCTAATCCGATTTATCTCGCAGAACATGGCACAATTTCCGAACAGATGGTTAGAACTGTCGAACATTACCCCGCCGAAACGATCGTCGTTGTTCATGCCAAAATCCGAAAGTCCCTCCAAACTGTCAAGAATGCTACAGTTCATGATTACGAATTGCAAGTTTACGAAATCCACAGAGTGGTTCCATTGACTGAAAATGTACCATTCACAGTCTACGATGCAGAAAATATCAACAGAGAAAAGGAAGTTGACATGGATGATGATTCTGGTGATGATTCGGTTGCAGCTAGTCAGCCAATGTCACCAATTTCCACAGATACACCAAGAGGTCCTCCTTCTCGTGCTTCTACTGACCTTGCACGCAATGCTTTTGCAAAATTGGATGATAAGAATTTGGAGAGTAGAAGTAAGCTCCCATCATTGGAATTGGAAGATTTATAACTAACATCAAAAAAGCTTCTATGGATACATCTCATCACCAAAAACGATCCCTCCCACAAAGAGTGAGATTGAACAACAGAATTATCGATTTACGAACAACTCCAGCCCAGGCAATCTTCCGTATCCAATCGGGAATTTGCAACCTTTTCCGATCATATCTCGACACCCAAGGCTTCATTGAAATCCATACACCAAAATTACAAGGAGGTGCTACTGAATCTGGTGCAACCGTTTTCGAGCTCAACTATTTTGGAAGACCTGCCTTCTTGGCTCAATCCCCACAATTGGCTAAGCAAATGTGTATCGCAGCTGATTTCGAGAGAGTTTATGAAATTGGTGCAGTTTTCCGTGCAGAAGATAGTAACACACCACGTCATTTGACCGAGTATACTGGATTGGATCTCGAGATGGCTTTGGAAGAACATTATCATGAGGCTTTGACTCTTATTGATGGTATGTTCAAGAACCTCTGGAAAGGAATTTACGACCGATATCAAAAAGAAATTGATCTCATTGACCAATTTTACCCCCATACCAAGGTCGAATGGCTGGATGAGACTCCCAGAATCCCATTCTCTGTTGGTGTGAAGATGTTGGTAGATTCGGGTTGGGTTGAAGAAGATGGAAGTATACCGTCGGAAACCGAGGATCTCTCTACCCGAGCCGAGATTCGTTTGGGTGCGTTGGTTAAGGAAAAGTATCATACTGATTACTATATCCTCGACAAATTCCCTGCTTCTGTTCGACCATTTTACACCATGCCCGATCCTGAAGATGATCGATTTACTAATTCTTTCGATATTTTCATGCGTGGTCAAGAAATTTTGACTGGTGGCCAACGTATTCACGATGCTGAATTTTTGGAAAAACGTATGAAGCAAAAGGGTGTCAAGCCAGAAAGTATGTCTGAATACCTTGAAGGTTTCAGATGGGGAGCACCACCTCACGCAGGTTGTGGTATTGGTCTTGAGCGTCTTACATACCTTTTCCTCAGTCTTGGCAATATTCGACTTGCATCTCTATTTCCAAGAGATCCCAAATCACTTCCAGCTGTACCTCCTACTCTGGTCCTTCGTCACGAGGATGCATCCACACTCCACCCAATATGGGAACAAGAAGGAAAGGAATTCACACCCGAATTACTCCCACCTTTGGAGAAGTTAATTGCCAATTATGGTGATGCAGCCAATACCTCTTGGTTAGACAAGCGCTATCACGTATGGAGACATTCGACTACTGGTGCAGCACAAGGTTATGTCATCCATAACTCGTATGCCATTATTGTTGGAGAGCCTCTTTGCGACAAATCTCAAATGCCAGCCATCGTTTCTGCCTTCCTCAATTACTTGAATACCGAACATAAGAATCTCAAGCCAATTTGGATGATTATCGGTTCTCGTACCGAAGAATATCTTGGTGAAAAGTTCGGTTGGCGTACTTTGTCTCCAGCAGCCGAAGAACGTGCTGATCCTCGAAATAACCCCGCAGCTAAGGATAATGACTTGGCACGCAAAGTTCGACATGCTGAAAAGGAGGGTATCAAACTTCAAACTCTTCCATTCAATGAACCAGTTCCAGAGGACTTCAAAGAAAAGGTCAACGCACGAGTCCAAGATTGGCACAAGAACAGGAAGGGTACCCAAGTTCACCTTACAGAAATCAGACCTTGGCTTGACGAGGCTCATCGTAAATACTTTTACGCTCAAGGCCCTGATGGAACTATTCACGCTATTAATGTTCTTCATCAACTCAGTCCTGAAAATGGATACCAAGTTAAATTCTCCCTCGAATTCCCGGGTGCTCCATCTGGTACTGTGGAATCTCTTCTCCTTTACTCAATGAAACAATTGAGCGCAGCAGAACCAGATGTCAAACGTATTACTTTTGGTACTGGTGCTCAATCACATATTGAAGGTGGAAGAAACTTGGGCAAACATAGAATTAAGGCGTTGAAGAAGGCTTATGAGACAATCGTTAAGCAAGCAAGATTATTGGGCAAGAGTGAGTTCAGAGAGAAGATGGGTACATGGAATGACGGAATTTATGTTGCATATCCTAAGGGTGGTTTGGGTGCTGGTGGTATTAGAGCTTTGATGGGTTTCCTTGAGGAAGATGGTTAGATTTCTCACCATGGAATTTCTATTTGTGGATGCGAAGGTGTGAGAGGGGGAGATTGTGTGCCTGGGATGAACTTATAATTCTTAAGCAGAAGAAAGTAATTTCGTGAAGTGCATTGGATGACTGGGTTGGGAGATGGATGGACGGCATGGATGGATGGGAAAGATACCTACATTGCTTTATTTGTTACTCACTAGGGTTATTTTCTTTGCTACCTTTCATTAATTGTTTGCCATCGATTGAGTCGATAGTAATTAAGTCGAAGGAAATTGTAAATAGAATATAACGGATACACTAATAGATGAATCAACATGTATTACCAAGTCCAACAAAATTAGCTAATCGTTCAATCCATTCACCTATTTGAATCTCAACCCCAAATCAATACTAATATCTACCTCCCTACCTCCCTCCCTCCCTACCTACCCACCCACCTACCCACCTACCTACCCACCCACTCCTCTCCATCGTTATATACCCAACCAACCTTGGAACCTTCCACAAAAAAAAAAAAAACACAAAAAACTCAGTACGTCGGGTAAGTAACCTACCTACGGAAAATCTCATAGCTTATACGAATTTATGTCTATATCTATATCTATATCTATTAAACACAAACACAAAAATAAATAAGAGATAAATAAGAGATAAATAAGAGATAAATAAGAGATAAATAAGAGATAAATAAGAGATAAATAAGAGATAAATAAGAGATAAATAAGAGATAAATAAGAGATAAATAAGAGATAAATAAGAGATAAATAAGAGATAAATAAGAGATAAATAAGAGATAAATAAGAGATAAATAAGAGATAAAATAAATAAGATAAATAAAAGATAAAAGATAAAAGATAAAAAGAACACGCCCGCATCGCTCTCTCGGTAATTGGTAATTGGTAATTGGTCATCGGTAATTGAATGAGATGGGTATTGGATGAGATGAAATGGGGGAGGAGGGGTATTGGTATGGGGAGGAGGGGGAGGGGGTATTGGACGGGATGGGGGTATGGGTATGAGATGAGGGTATTGGTTTAGGGAGAAGGGTATTGATGGGGGAGAAGGGGTATGGGGGAGGGGCTCGTTATGGGTATAAGGGAAGGGATGGGTATTGGTATGGATGAGATAGGTATGGAGGAGGGGGAGGGGAGAAGGGGGTATGGGGGTATTGGATGAGATGGGTATAGGGGAGGGGATGGGTATTGGATGAGATAATATGGGAGTATTGGTATGGGGGAGGAGGGGGTATGGGGAGGAGGGGGAGGGGGTATGGGTATTGGATGAGATGAGATGGGGTAGAAGGGTATTGGATGAGATGGGTATGGGATTTCGGTAATTGAATAGGTAAGAGGGTATGAGGAGAAGGGGGTATGAATGAGATGAGGGTATGGGTATAGGATTTCGGTAATTGGATGGGTATTGGATGAGATGAGTATTGGTATCGGGGAGGAGAGGTATGGGATGAGTATGAGATGGGTTAGTGGTAGTCGCCTATTAGATGGTTTTAGTATACCCGCGCTCCCGCGCCAAGGGTTCTAGGTGTGGAGTGTATGATGTGTGTGATGTGTGTGATGTGTAAGCATGATGCAGGTAGCTTGTGTAGGGATGAGTGTAGGTATGAGTGTTTGCGTGTATGCGGCGGATGGGATGGTTGGATGGTTGGATGGATTTGAATGGGATTGGGATTTGGATTTGGATTTGGATTTGGATTTGGATGGGCTTTTGGACGGGGTTTTGGATTTGGATTTGGATTTGGATTTGAATGATTGATTTTTTGGGGGATCCCGGTGTTGGTGTGGTCTGGAATTGAGGGGTTGTTTGAGGTTTCTTGGGCGGTTTTTTTTGGGTATTTGTGATATGGACTCGGGTGTATAAGTGATTATTCGATATGTCTTAATTTTCTTTATATTTTTTTTGTATTTTTTCACGAGTATGTATGTATAAGGAACAGTGTTTTGATAATGAGTATTGAATAATTGGATGGATGGATGGATGGATGGGTAGATGGTTGGATCTAATCGAGGTATGTAATCTTACGAGTAGTATTACGATAGATTTATGTTACTCTATAGGTATTGAATCCGGTACTGGATACTGGTATAGATGCTGACGCGAGATACTAGGTAGGTGAGGTTAGGTAATGGGCGTTGGGTTTGTCAGATCGGATCGGATCAGCTCGCATGGGATTGAGAAGTTTTTTAATGCGGGGGAAGGAGATGATTTAATTGCAAAGGAGGTATGGAAGGTGTGTGGAAAGTGTTTAAAGAGGGGGAATGAGGAGATGAGATTTGTTTTCGGTGTTTGAGATTGTGTTTCTTTGTTGAAATCGGAATACATTACCTTGATACTTACTTATCTATTTGTGTGTTTATGTACACATATATACATATATCGATACTCAACGAATAGTAAATATATAACTAATTCCTGACTACTGCTCATCTCAGATTCTAAAAAGCTCAATTGAAATAATTGCATCATCAACCATCATGTCATCTACCCCCTTCTCTCACCCTCTCCCCCAAACCATCAAAGCCCTCCTCCAACCCGACATCCACAGCCCCAAACTAATCCTCGCCACAATTCCCACACCCGTCGCCACCCCAGGAACCACCGAACATCTCATCCACGTGCACTCCACCTCTCCCTGCGCAGGCGAGCTAACCTGGACCGCCAACTTCTCCGCCTACACTTCTCTCCAGCCCACACTCTCCCCCTCCTCGATAACATCCAAGTTACAAATCCCCTGCTACGACCTCTCGGGAACCGTCGTTACCGCACCTCCCAATTCCCTTTTCCCCCCCGGCACAGAAATCTACACCCGCACATCCTTTTCCCGCCCCGGAAACGCACGCGCCTACACCATCGCACTAACATCCGAACTCGCGCGCAAACCGCACAATCTCTCCTGGGAAGAAGCAGCCAGTATACCACTTAGCGCCTTTACGGCATGGCAGGCATTGTATGTACATGGGGGTATGCGCTGCGTGTATGCGCTCGATGCGAAGATTGAGAACGAGGGAAAGACGGTGTTGATTAATGCGGCGGCTGGGGGGGTGGGGACGCTGCTGGTGCAGTTTGCGAAGGCGGGGGGGATAGGCGAGGTGATTGGGGTTTGTTCCAAGGGGAATGTGGAGATGGTGGGGGGGTTGGGGGCGGATCTGGTGTTGGATTATGGGAGGGAGGGGGTGGGGGCGTGGGGGAAGAGGACGGGGAGGAAAGTGGATTTGGTGGTGGATTTGCTAGGGGGGGAGAGTTTAGCCCAGGCGTGGAAGGTGGTGAAGAGGGGGGGGAGGGTGGTGAGTATTAAGGAGGATCCGAATGAGTGGAAGCCGACGGAAGGGGTGGCGGAGGATGTGGAGGGGAAGTTTTTTATCATGGAGCCGGAAGGGTGGCAGTTGGAGGAAACTGCTAAGTTGATTGAGAAGGGTCAGGTGAAGGCTACGATAGATAGTGTGTGGTCGTTGCGTGATTTTGAAAAGGCGTTTGCTATTGTTGAGGGAGGTCATGCAAGAGGAAAAGTTATAATTAATGTTAGCGAGTGAGAAAAAGGGGGAAAGACTGATGGGAACTCTCCGGGCTTTGAATTTCGAAAAAAAAATTGATTTATACAAACTTGAAAACCACATAGGGAATCTAGTAGTTATTATTCAATATCTACATACTTGAACATAATAATAGGACGTCTAATCAATCATGTAAATTATTTTAAAGAGTATAATAGACCGTACAGCGAATACTAACGTTAATAAACGCTCAATCAATTATACTCATACTTTACTTTCGCATTCCTTCTTCTCATCCTATCCTGAATTACTTCGATACTTCTAACAAATCATCACCTTACAGCTATATTTAACTATTTGAGAAATATCACAGCCGCTATTCTCTCGAAGATTTAAAATTTAAAAGATTGGATTATATATTACCTTGTTGATTAATAATATAAGTTTACGAGTAATTAGAGTTAATTAATAGTCGGTTCTTCAAGCGACCGACTAGTTCCTAGTTAGGGAAAGCAAATGTCCCCAAAAAGCAAATTGTCCCTGTGAGATTTTGGATATAAAATACACCAAAATCATTCAATTTTATTAGAAATCTAGTTTATTTTTAATACACAACGTTCAATTTTTGAATGATTTTTGAAATTTTTATATAATTATATTCAATAAGATTATAGCTTTTTAATGATATTAGACTTTTTCGAATTACTTCAAAATTCATAGTATTATTCATAAAATTCAGATATTTTTCAATAAAAATCACAAAATCTACACCAAAATCTCACAGGAACAATTTGCTTTCCGAGGATATTTGCTTTCCCCGATTAGGAACTAGTTAGTTGTTTATAAGAGCCGACTATTAGTATCTCTCAAATAATAGCAGAATACCTCAAATAGAAAGATTCAACTGAAATTCAAGACATTTGATGAATAATCTTCAGAATGAACAAATCAATCGACTCCTGTGCTTGCCACAACCCTAACCCACGAGTGAGCTTAAATTGTTCATTGTTGCTAGCGCTATGCAGATTTTCCAAAAGAACACGGCACATACCTACTTCTAAACAACTTTTAAGATCTTCTATTCGTACCTAATTAATAATCCGTATTAAAAACATCGCAGGAAAAGGAATATTTGCACGTAGGTCATCAACTTTTCGATCACGGCTTGACTCTTGCGTGTCACAGAATCACTAGATCTTGCAGCTTGTCCCGTAGTCCTATAACTTATGACATGATAGGCGTAGCACGAATGGCTTGGTGATTACAAGGACCTCTCTTTTCAGGTAGACATGAATACCGAGCCAGCAGACTTCGCAATTTGGACTTGTCCCGTGTGGCAAATATTTTCCTCGCAGACAAAGAGCATATGTACTGGATAGTGTAGAGAGTACTATGGCAATTTTAACACCTAAATCTAATCTATCTAGGCCTCTCATATGTGTAAGCACTGGCCAGCACGTGCTTGACATTCCGCTTTTCCTTAGAAAGTTTTCTTCAGGAAGTCGCCACTCTTGTTGACCAAGCCATCGTCAACTGAGAAACTCAGGTCCTTGATCTCTAGCAACGCCTTGTTCACCTCATCACACTCGGCCTGGATGACGGTCCAAGCTGGTGCGCCAATGGGAAATCGGAGGGGAATGGCCTGCTTCCGGGCAACAATTTCGTACATGCCAGCGCCGACATTCTCAGCCGGTGCCCAGGTCGCCTGCATGTCTGGGCTCTTCACGTAGCCTTCCAGCAGCCTAGTAGGTGTGTCTGGTGCTGTGTAGGCGGGGTGGGGAGAGAACCACGCCATGCTGTCGCCTGCGAAGTTGGACTTTGTTCCACCGGGCTCAATGATGCAGAAGTGGACTTTTGAAGATATCTATTGTCAGCCTCGTGTGTGACGAAGAGATTGGTACTGCTCAGTGGTGAGCAGAGGTAGGTAACTCACTATTCCATTCAGGTCGCATTTCCTTGCTCAAAGACTCAGTGTAGCCCTCAACAGCGAACTTGGAGGCGTGGTAGAAACCACTGCCGGGAAATCCAGCGAAACCACCAATAGATGTGACGTTCAGTACCACACCGCCAATCTGGCCGCTCTTAGGGTTCTCGTCACGGAAGACGCGCACAGCGTGCGCGGACACCTGAGCGCTGCCCCAGAAGTTCGTCTCGACGATCTTGCGAGCTTTATCCATGTCCTCAGCGTTTGTCACAAAGGACTCTGTATCACCCATCAGACCATAGCCTGCGTTGTTAACAACGACGTCGATGCGGCCAAACTTGGCGATCGCGGAGTCAAATGCGGCCTGAATAGACTCAGAGCTGTTGACATCCAGAGCCGTCAAATGGACACGTGGGCTGTCTTCCGGCAATTTGCCGGCAAACTTGGATACGTTGCGTGCCGTGGCGACTACACGCTGGCTCTTTGTAGCAGCAACGATCTGTGCCAGAGCCAGGCCCATTCCAGATGAGCAGCCGGTGACTGGGTATGCATTAGACACAAACTAGTCGAGAGTAGGTAGGTACCTTAAAAAGGTAGCACTAGCTTAGTGGTACTTACTAAACCAGACTGCATCTTCAGGCAGGCTGTAAACGGGCTTAGGTGCTGCCATGACAACAATGTGAAGAAAGAAGTGAAGGGAAGGAAGTGTATTGGGTGGAGAAATGAATAGAGTTTGGTCTCAATCTAAGGAGGTGTCGGCGTCCGAAGTGGTGACAACTGAGGAATGAAATGCTTCTTCTTCGTCTTACCCTTAGCACATTTCGTGAACTAATATATATGCCGCGGAATTATCGGGGATATCGGAGGTATAAAGAAATACATGATTACCTTGCATACCCGATCAGGCTAGACTCCATAAGGTAATCCGTCTCGCCAAGACTCCATGGGGTAACCCGTCTCGCCCTTGCTAGATCTGGAAATCGCCGAGCACCTCCTTTCTGTACAGAGCATACACCCCATGCCCAATTCTGTCATGGCGAGAGGGATACCTATGAGGCTGATTGCTCAACTCGAAACTTACTGTCGCCTGGGATTGAGGCTCGTACCTGGGACGGATCTGGCCCCAAATAGGATAGTTTTTGTCGGAGATCAGATATATATGTTATTAAGCAGTATTTTGATGACAACTATCATTTTCTATTGCAATAGGTTATGAGCCCGGATGGCGCAGTGGAAGTGCATGTTTTTGAGATCATGTGACATTAAGACCCACATCCAATAACTTACCATTAGGTAGAAAAGGAGGGAGATCCCGACAGTCATATACAACTATAGCTGCGTACAGAAGATACGCAGAAGGTAGCTCTAGGGGAGCCGTGGGGGATATTACTTAAGAGTGCGTATTGGAAATCACATATATGTAGTTAAGCAATATGCTGATACGAATTATTTTTTTCTATTCTATTCTACTCTATTCTAATAGATAGTTCTATATCACGTGCAATTGATCTATTGAAAACATGGATATTGGCACCTTGACATAAACAGCGTGTTCCTAATTTAGGAATCCCAACCCCAACCCCAACCCCAACGCCCACTGATGAGTCAAAAAGCAGGAAACAGGATATTCTATGAGGTAACCGCTCTCCTCACGATCTCTGTCTGGTGGTGGTAGTCCATACAAATATCATCGAAGCCCGCAAGCTTCATCTGAGCGCTCATCCTCGTGATGAACGAGTATAGCTCCTTCATCCTCACCGCCAAAAGCATCTGGGCAATGATCCTCTGATCTGCCCCATCCTCTACAGTGAACGTCCCTATGTTGATCGCTAGGATGGAGTCCCGCCCTCCGGATGGACTATCCGCGGCGTTGACCGATGAGGAAGCGTCGAGAAGCAGTGCGACCAACTCTTGAATATTCATCAGCATGAGAAGCGCAAGGCTCTGAGAGATATGACGTGCCGACGTGCACGTCTCTACTGCCTCCCACTTGGACATGGCCTGCGTGAAGAGGAGCAGGAACTGGTCGACCTGCGCTTTTTCTGGCCGCCTTCGAAGACTGAACAAGGTTGCAGTCAAGTCCTGGAGACATGTGCAGGTGCTTGGAGTCAATGTCGCTGATGCGGGTGGGGACGGGTTTTTCGCGAATCTCATTACGTCTATAAGGTCGGAAAACCCAGCCCTTGATGAAGGCTGAGTGGTGTCATCCTGAGTGTGATGCTTGGGCTGCAGAGTTGCGGGAGGATCGATTTGCACGTCTGAAGACAGACTTGGACGTTTTTGGTGTTCAGCATGCCGAATCATCGTGCTCCAAACTAAGCTGGGCGTGGGCGAGGGCGTGCGCGTCGATGACAGGGACGGCGTTGGTAAAGAGAAGTTTGGCCGCAATTCGTTGCCGGGAGCTGAGAAGTCGTAGTAGTGAGGAGCATTGTGTTCAACACTCTTCGAAGCCAACTCTAATTCGGGGAGGTGCAGTACTCCGTCGTTGTCGTTCATGGAAGCTGACGAAACATCCGCATCAACTCGATTTGGAGGCACAAGATTTGGAGATCCGTCGATGGCTTTGTCTGTGGCTGGGTCTGGGTCGAAAAACAGATCCAAGGGCTCAAATTGGGACTCCCACCACCTCGTATGCGTGTCTTGTGGTACTGTCGGGCCTTGCGGGATAGAAGGCGGACTCGGGCTCGGACTCGGACTCGGACTCGATGCTGACTCCGGGATTGACGGCACCAACGAGCTGCCCTTCCCGTTCCTATTCCCGCTCCTGTTCTCATCTTCGTTACCTTCAACTGTGACGCTGGCGGTGCGCGTTCTTTCCCTAGGTTCTGTCGGTTTCCCAGAATGTGGGTTTCGGGACCGGCAGCTCGCCGAGTTGTATGTGCACGCCCTACTGCTACCTTGGCAACGGGCACACTTCAAGTTCTCGCTGTCGGGTTCCCATCGACACTTGACACGAGCTGTTCTGCATTCGTCACACGCTGGCTGTCTCAGCCGTCTCCTGTGGAACGCTGAGAATGTATGGAACTCGGCCGAGGATCTCTTACTCTTGCTTCCGTTTCCAAAAGAGAGGGTGCCGTACATATCGTCGGTTCGGTTTGTTTGTCTACATCGTGTTAGGACGATCATGCACGTGCTCTACATAAGGTCAACCTTAGGAGAAATAGGAGAAGGAGAAATACCTGGCCGATTTTGAAAATTGAGAATACTAAATCCAAGGTGAACAATACTTTATTTATGCGTTGACGATGCGCTTTGTAATTTCAATACAATATTCAAATAATATGTTTAACTTCAACTTAAATTCTTTTTAAGTTCGTAAATCATGATTAGGTTCTACTTCGTAATATTCCTATAGACTCGTCTCAATATTGGCCTTCACATCGGCCACCTTTGTCTCCAATGTATAGCACGTAAGAGTCTAACCACGCGGGTACCTCTGTAGTGGGGCTGAACCAGGGCTGATCGGTACCCGTGAAGTACCGTGGATGTGCCAGACGGCTATGCAAGTGACGTTGCGCCGTTGATAGCCCGGATAAGGTGAAACGTCCAGTAGAAACTTTGTACTTTGGACACAGGCCATGAAAATCTATACAGTGGATCACTCTCGGCAACAGTGCTGGTTTTACAAAAAAACTTAATATCTTGTTGAACCTACAGGCGAATGACACGTCGGCAGCTTTCTATTGAGTTTCGTACATTTCGTGATCGTCTTGATCGTACGGCCCTAGGTTGATTCGAGGCAGCACTCAAATTCAACCTCCACTCTTGGAGCCGCTACCATGGCCACCCTCGAATCCTCATTACAGCAACCAATAAAATATCGATTATTACTCTTGTTCTTCGAGGCTATTGAAGACAAATTGAAGTAATCCCATTTAAACTCAATTTTAATAGCAATTAAATACTTATTATATAAAGAAGATACTCTTTTTCTTATTATTCTAGATGGTTTTAATATTGATTCTCGAAATCCTGCAAAATAATAATTATGTTTATTAAAATCAGTATTAATTACTTCAATAATAGCTTTATATAAAGATTAAAAAAGTAATAATTATTATATATATTTATTTTAATTATAATATGATTTCTTTTGAATATTCTCAATTTAAGCTTCTTTATTATAAAATCTAATTATTAAGAATTCTATTGGAAATGTTCAAATAGAAGACTTATATCGGATATCGCACTATATCTCAAAATTAACTTAAATCTTACTTTATTAAGATATATATATACTATAGAATCATATAATATAGTTTATTAGTAGATCGATTATATTAGTAGATTGATTACTTTTTATCTCGAATTATTATTTTATACTTAATATCTATTTTCTTTCTGTTCAATTATAGAAATTTATTTTAAAGAAATATATATAATCTTAATTTGTTACGGAGGAATAGCTATATCGAATAGTCACTTCGATTAGGAGTTAGATATATATAGTGATATTAAACTAGATTAATTTAAGGTATGATTATAAGAATCATGTTAAGCTTATATATCCTGATCGGGTAATGAAGTTGTTTAACTAGATATTAGAGTTCATTAAAATAAAGAAATAAAGAAGTATTTTGTAATCGTAGAAGTAGATGCTTCGAAGGAGTACTATGCTTACTCATATAGTAAAGACTTCAAGGTTATATTCTTTGTAATCAGAATGAGAATCATTTAAATAGAGTTATATTTAGTTCTATTTATAAAGAGAAAGTCGGGTTTTAGTTTCATAACTACTATCTTGAATTATATTTAGAAACTTATTTTTAACCTCTCTAGAAAAGTTATTATTAATCTAAATAGACAATACTAAGGTCATATTAATCAAAATAATACCTACTTAAAGACTATAATATAGATAAGAGAAGGATTATTAATCAAATAAAATATACATTTATATAGTATAAAGTATCTACTTTATACTATATCTATTTATAACTAGCTTTAAATTTTGACCTTTACTACGTTCATTGGTTAATGGACTAGTCAAGCTAGAAAATGCGTTGATTGGGCAATGAACTAGTCTATTGGCTAATGCACGTAATTCATTTATGAATTCCAAATGTTTGTCTATGGACCGGAACATATATCGCCAGCTTCATCAGCAGCGAATTCTGCAGACTCGAGAAGCCACCAACACATTATATCAAGTATCAATCTTGAGTACAGTAAAGTACACCGCAACTCTTGCCAGCTCATTAGTTCCAAGCTCGCTCTCCTGTATTCTCAAACGTAATGTAACTTAATTGTTGCTAGCTTCTCCTTCATCACCAACATACCTAACTTTGCTGCCCAACAACTACAGCTACCTTATCTAAATGAGTCGAGTTCTTTCTGGATCAAGCTCCACGTTTCCTCCCTCAAGTAAGCGTGGACCCAGTAGTTACTGCCTGCGTCTTTGCCATAGATCACGAAGGTGTCGCGGGGTTTGTCAGTAACGCTCAGAGTCGTGCCCCAGTACATGACTGGTCTGCCTGGTTGTGCCTGTGCCTGTGCCTGTGCCGTTTCCGTATTTGTTGTAGCCACCCTCGTACCGCTGTATTTGCGATTGCCCATACCACCCGCAATCAAAGCGTTGGGGCCGAAATCAGCTGCGTCTAAAAATTTGGCCTTTGACCAGTTCGTGCATGCGACGACTCGCGAGTCCCACTTTGCGAACAAGGGCATCGTGCCCATGCTCGAGAACCACCGACGTGCGATACGCATGAGTCGCCGAGCTTGTACATCATCAGTCTGCTCTACGATGGCCTTCCGCAGGCCCAGAGCGATCTGGGCAGTCGTGGCGGTGGCCGCTTCTTCCTTTGACAAGACAGTTGTTGCCGGCAGGATCAGATTCTGAAGGTATGTGCCCCCGCGAGCAAATGTGTCCTTGAGACGCCCGCGGAGGTCGAAGACGTTGCAAATCACGGCACTGCAGTTCTTCCATGGGCTCGATGACATGACCATGCGAGCGCCCCAGGCTGTGATGAGATCGCCGTCGCTAACAAACGGGACAACGCCGCCATTTTGCCTCTTCAGCTCCTCCTCGACATCCTGGCGGAGATACGACATGTATTTAGCAGGCAGGTAGATGTGTCGCGTCCGAATAGATCGTCGAGTCGTGGCATCCCACATGTAGCGAGCAATAAAGGATAGTAAGGAGAACCCCCGGGTTTGTTGGCCTTCCAGGGCGAATTCTCCCTGCGAAGCTTTCTTATCAAGGCTCGTCCCAATATTGCCAAGCACATCTACCTGAGTTCCCTGAAGGGGCTTCACGAAGCTGCTCTTGCCAGCCACGACATTGGACCACGCCTTGAGAAACTCTGATGTGCCCATGGCGTCAGTGAGGGAGTGCGGAAAGGTCAAGCCAACCAGTGTGGCGTCCGCGAAGGATGTTACATGCAGAGACAACATCGGCTGGTCGTTCTTCCAGTAATGCTCGATATTGTTGGGAAGATCAGTGGGCAAAGCAAATGACCGGAACGCGTGGCAGCCCTCCTGTACGGATGGTGTAGACCCTGTGGGTCTGGGTAGTTGTGATGCCAGACCGTGGGAGTCGATTTTGATATCGGAGTAGTCGACGTGAGAGAACTTCACTTCAGGGCGGGTTTTGCTGAAGTTTCTGGGTACATGAATCTCAAGTTTTCCGTTTTTCTGCAAAAGAAGCATCAACTTTTAGCGAGCGCTCTTGAGGCGTGAATAGATGGACGTGGTCACTTACAGTGGTTCGGAGCCGGCCTCCAAGCTTGTTCCATCCCGGGATCTGCAACAGCTGGAGTAGACCTCTATGAAGTTTTGCCGCATCGAGAACGTCGTTGTAGCGAAAAGTATAGTTGATAATGGATGTGCGTACAATGGTAGCCTGATCTATGAAATGTACGGGCAAGACCTCGTCGTCACCTTGCGGATTGTCGGTTTTTGACACGAGGTCTTTTGAGGCAACGATGTTTTTACTTTTACCCTCTTGTTGCTTTTCAAGCCTATAGGCATGATAAAGCCGCAAGAATAGTACCAGTGAGAAGAAAAGCGGTATTGTCGCCATCTTGTATAGTACAATGGCAGCCTTTTGTCGTTGACCGGAACCTTTCCAAGATATTATATCGTTAGAACAAACCAGACGTGTAATTGGCTCTACAGATCTTCCCAGCCTAGTATAAGCAAGACCTATCCATTAAGTCTGTTTGAATAAAGTAATAAATATAAGAATCCTCTCGATCTGGCCAGTCATTATAACAAGCAGCCGGCTAGAACGCTTTTAGGGATTATATATATGAAGCAAGTATACTCAATCTGCCTATAGCGCAAATCGATACCCTAAATGAGGAAATATTAGCGAATATCACTCTATTGTATACCAATATTCTATAAAGTATATACTTCGATTCGCTGGTCACACAATATTTCTCGATACGGAGGTATGATAGACAGTAGTGGCAACGCTACAAGTGGAGAAAGAGAAAACGAACTCTGAAGAGAAAATTCTCTAACCAGCTGGAGATCTACGATATCCGTATTACGATTACTACCGATACATTTGATGAAGTTGATATTGATAACAAATTTGATAGTCGATCTAATTAGTACTCATATTCTGCTTTCCTTACTGATAGCGAACAAGATTGAGTAAAGCGGTATGATTACTAATGATTTTGGCCAATAACATCCTCGGAATAATCCCTACAGTCGCTAGTGGGTATGCTTACCTATCCGACCTTCGCATAGGCTTCGCTTGCCGCCTAGCCAAATTACCCAAAGGGGAAATCCATTTTGAGCAAGTCCGATGGGTCAAGAGCCTCAGGTGTCCATGTACATTTCCCAGCATGGCCATCACCGATTGCCGCGGCACCCATCGCAAGTATTATACCCAAAGCTTGATTAGTACTTTGTCGAGATCGAAAGCAACTAACAGACCGTATCAATTCAAACTAGGAACTGTCATGCCTAGTACGAGAATAGAGTCCATTTCGGCAGGCTTTAGGCACTCTCTGTGTGCCCCGCATTGAAATAACCCCTTCACCAGAGTATATTTAGTATACCGTAGAATCTCCCTTCCATTAGATGTCGACTGAATTTCTGGTTCCTAGGTTCTTCGCGAATCTTTCCCATTTCTCAATATAACTCTTTGAGTCGAGGACATCAACATGGAGAAGAGCAACCCGACCTTGGAACTGGTTACTAAAACGGCGCTGCTCACGTGGCAGAGGTCGAACGCACTCCTCCGACATGGAATCGAAAGAGCCACTCCCTTTGTGCTAGCCGTTAAAAGTAAGGCATGGCAGAATGCTCAATCAATTGGAACCAAGGTGGCTGAGGCCAAATTCGAAGAAATGGACAGGACAGACATCACCACTATAGCCTCTGTCGTCCTCGGGTTATACTTTGCTTATGTGTTCTGCTTGGTATTCTACCGCTTGTATCTACATCCCTTGGCAAAGTTTCCCGGTTACAAGATCTGCGCTGCGTGCGAATGGTACGAGTTCTACTGCTACATTGTGAAGGGCGGACAATGGGGAAATGAAGTCCGCAAGATGCATGAGAAATATGGCAAGCAACTCCCAAGTGCCGTTTTTGGAGCATTAAGTCTCTAAAACTCAATTTCAGGGTATCTTTGACAACTGACAATATCTGGATTTGCAGGCCCCATTGTGCGCACCAGTCCTTGGGAACTCTCAGTCCGCGATCCGACGTTTTACGATCAGCTATACGTCACTGCCTCAACTCGCAAGACAGACATGTGGCCCAGGGGTAGAGAGGGAAACGGATTTGAAGGTACGCTTTCTAGCTTGATGCAGATACACTCGCCGAAGAGTTGTAGGCTAACACATGTTTTGCGAATAGACTCGCATCACTTGTCGGTCTCCCACGACCTTCACCGTACGCGGAGAAAGGTACGCAGAGCCCCAAAAGCACTTTATGTCCGTGGGGACAAGCTCAGTATCTAACATTGTTGACCCGTAGCATCTGGAACCATTCTTCTCTCGCCAAGGCATCACTCGTATTGAGTCTCGGATTGCCGAGCGTGTCATGAAGATGGACGAAAGACTCATGGGTCTCAAGAGATCTGGTTCTATTATCGAAGTGGACCATATGCTCTGCGCATTAACCGGTGATATTATTGGTCAAGTGTCTAGCGGCATGGAAGCTGGTCTGCTGGACGACCCGGAGTTCACTCCTGCTTGGTAAGTGGAGGACATCTCAAAGTAACGAAAATGATAATGTAGATTCCCAGACTAAATTAGAGGTTTCAGGAAGGATCTTATGATCAAGTCCACCACTATTGCACCCCTATTCCGATGCTTTCCATGGATCAACAAGTAAGTATTCCTTTTTCGCATGGGACGGAGCCCTTTCATAAGTACGTGCTTATAAAATGAAAACCTCAGGGTCCTCCAGTCTCTGCCTACCGCAATCATGAACAGCGTCTATCCCAAAGGCATCTCGAACATGATGCTGGGTAAGGCCGGCCAGCGGAACATCGAAAAGATAAAATCCGAAATTGCCACGTCCAAGAGAGACCTGTCGGACGTTTCAGTTTTCCACCACCTTCTTTCTTCCAATATACCGGAGTCTGAGAAGTCTATCGATCGTTTGCGTGCTGAGTCTATGATACTGCTGCTCGCCGGAACGCTGGCAGGTGCGCATACCCTGACCTTCGTGGTTTTCTATGTTCTTCAGAATCCGCAGATCGAGAAGCGGCTGAGAGCAGAGCTGCAGCCTGTTTTCAAGGGCTACCCCAACAAGATACCTGCCTGGGCGGAGCTGGAAAAGCTACCATATCTCAGAGGTTGCGTTAAGGAGGCGCTCCGGTTGAATGGACTCGTTGGAAATCTTGCACGCTGCTCGCCGGACGAAGATATTCAGTTCCACCAATGGGTCATCCCCAAAAAGGTTTGCCGCACCATTTTTCTCTCAAAAAATTTTGCAGTGCTTTTGAAATCTCTCCCGAAGATTTGAACTGACATAAACTAATAAAAATCAGACTCCGGTTGGCATGTCCATCTACGCAATGCACTTTGACCCGAACGTCTTTCCCGAGCCGGAGGCCTTCAAGCCCGAACGCTGGATCGGGGAGTACAACAAGCAAATGGATCGCAACTTCGTCCCCTTCACTAAGGGCTCGCGGAGTTGCCTTGGAGTCAAGTAAGCCTAACATGCTCACCTGCCATTGAGCGTACTATTTTTGATGAAGAGCAATCGCTAACAAGATTTCTAAACGTTTTTAGCCTCGCCTGGGCAGAGTTGTATCTTGCCAGCGCAATGCTATTCCGCCCTGGCGGCCCTAAGCTTGTCCTTCATGATGCGGGCGAGTCTGATATCAAGATTGCGCGTGACTACATCATGGGCTTTCCTAGGGCGGGCGCCAAGGATGTTCGCGTCAAGGTTGAGTGAGACCTCCCGATTACAAGGGTTTATGTTGCAACTAGAGGTCCATCACTAAGATGGTCATCGGCAACGTTTCTATGTAGGCTTACGGTACCGTAAATAATCGAGTCACTTTTGATTGACATCGCGTCGCTTTAAAATTATACCGGTACATCGTCCAGGGTTTCTTGGCATGCATCCTCGAAGTTTTTGATTTACCTACTTCTTCTGTTATCTTTGATTAGTTAATTTACTTATCAATCGCCGTAAATCAAATTTATGGTAGCTCATGTGATTCAAATTGAAGTGAGGTGAAACCGTTTGTCAACTCACGAAGCCGTAAGTAGACAGTGACGGACATTGAAAAGTTGAATGGAAAGTACTCGGGTGAATTCTTTTCGACCCCGTCAAGACGATTATCAAATTCTACAATCAACGAGCCCAAGAAGCTCTTTTTTTTACCTTCTCAAGGGAAGACGCAGCAGGAGAGTAATGGGTAAGTGTCATCCTAGTTCCAAACACGATGAATTGAAAGAAGACGTGGCCGGAAGCTTGGTGTCTAGTTGACAAGTCAGTTCGGTTTCCTGATCATCCTGGAGACATTCGCGTTCATAATGAATAGTTTCTAAAGGTGTTAAAGTTACTACATGTCTACCATATTTACTCCAAATTTATACTTGAGACGGAATAGAAATAGATTTAGGACCCGAACTATAGTGATAGTATTAGGTCTCACGATAAGGATTGAACAAAGCTTCTAGATAGCCAATACAAAGTCTTTTCAAGCCCTGGTACCACTAAGTAGCTCAGAGGTGTGTAGGGACATGGATTCTAGTCATAACGAAAATTCAAAATAGCATAGTATAAGCATTTTCTAAACTAAGTACCCAGGTATATAAGACGTCTCCTAACGTCTTGTGTATCAACGTAAAAACAAAAATATGGAGTTACAAACTTGACAATACCACATTGTCCCGTGCCTAGTCCACTCCTTCATAAGACGTAGCTGCATTTCCCTCTCCTATTCCTCCCCTCATGCCACGAACACGTCTTTAGCGGGCGGCAGGTACATGATACCTGTTTCATGGACATCATGGCCCTCAGGACCCAGGTAACGACCTGTTTGGAAGCTATTACCTCTGTTAGCTTGACTTCCATTTGGCTTCGCTGCTGTGTGAGAGGATCCACAGCGGAACCGACTTGCCTCCAATATAGATTGCCTTGAGCCACTGCCCTGCAAATCTCCACAAACTTCATGACCTCGTAGTCGATCTTCTCGCCATAGGACGGAAGCGCGGCTAGAGCGAGGTACCACCGCCTATAGCATTCGTTGACCATGTCACCAATCTTGTCGACAGCCTGCTGGGCGCTCAGGTTATCCCTTTCCATTAGTAGTGACATGAGGTTGTGATCTACGCCCAACTCCAGGTCTTTGCGGTAAGACAAAACATCATTCACCCTGAGGACGAGACGGGGTATCAGTACATAACTTTTAACAAAGGGACGGGAGCAGTGCTGTCAAATTTTCTTACAGTATAACCAAGTCAGCTGATACTCTCATGCATTCTTGCAAACTGGGGTGGTCATAAACGTGCTGCGGCACATTGACACCTGCGCCATACTCGCTAAGGTTGATCGCCGGGTACGCACCGATCGTGCCTCTTCGCAGGTCCATGTACGCATCGACATCGCGTGTGAAGTTTTGGCCGCCGACTTGTTGCTTGACTTGCACGACAAGCTGCTCAAAATAGCGCTCGTGCTGGACTATCCAGCGCTGTTGCATCTCTGGGGCTAACAGTTAACATCATGCAGAATTGTTCGTCAAGCCATGCCAGAGACTCGTGAGAGCAAGACGTCCATTGTTACAAAATAGGGGTAGAGAGGAAAGAAGCAGAAGAGCCGCTTAGGTGGTGGAGAACGAACCTTTACTAGACACAGATTTTAATCGCTTCCAACATTCCTGGAAGACGTATCGGATGGGATTTGACTCGGGGGTATACAGTGGTGCGTTGTCACCCATGATGGCAATGGTCTGCTTCACCTCCTCCGCTGCGGCGGCGGGATCTTCCTTCAGGTGCCCTTCATCGAATTCTATGTGGGGCGCAATAAATTAGTAATTTTTTGGGATGGCTCGTCTAATGACCAAGAGCAACCTACGATCGTCGAAGAGGAAAACCTGTGCGTGAAGTTACGAATTAGCCTTGGGAGTTATAGACTAAAAAGAGGAGAGGGGAAACAAACCCAATGATTCCAGTCCAACATCATGACTAGTCGCTCCTCGGATGCATCTGGGGCCCAGATAGAGGCCAAAAAGCACAAATCAACCTTGGAATTTCTTGCTGCCACGGCCTTGTTGAAATTCATGATTCTGCATGGCGTAACGAGACAGCACGTCAGCTTAAGTTCTCTTTGCAAATGAAGTGATTCTAAGACGTGAGACATCGTCTTCATTGTCAGCCCCTGCTATTTTTTGCCTACCTCGCAATCCATCGATCTCCCCTGGCCTTGGCTGCGAAGTAATTGGGATTGACGATAGGTTTCGTTGCCATGATAGAACCAAAGAGGTCCGGAACACGAACGAATGGCGGCCGTCTCGCAACATGCTTCTGCTGCTCCAATTCCTGTGCGTCTGGTTTTTCTGCTTTCTCTGGCGGTGTTCTGGAGTTAGTGTCGTAGCCGGAATCCGTGCTGTTGCTGCTCATATCGCTGGAGGCCGCGTCGGCGTCGTGTAGCTGAGATTCAAGTGCTGGTATCGCCATTTTGTGTGCTGCAGAGTTTACTTTGTGATTTGGTCTGATGGAGCTCAGATGACCGTGGTAGAACAATATTTCACTTCACTGTATTAAAGACTGCACATAGATTCTAGATGATTGGCCCCTAAGCCGGAGCAGCTGTGTTATAGTATCCATACGGGGCCACGAATTGTATGTCCTCTATATGGCTTGCCTAAAGGAGTAATTGCCGACTACAAGCCTCAAAAAGCCTTGACCATAACAAATACCCACTCGCCTTACTAGAAACACACCCCGGACGTGCCTAAACAAGACTAGGAATCTGCATTTCGCCAAAACGGGTAATTCCCGTGTGTGTCTCCGTGCTCGTATAACCCATCCAGATAACTTGAGATCTTCATCGTACTCCTCCATAAAAGTCCTGGCTTGTTTCACTTCCTTTCAAGATCTTTATTGTCCGGTGTGATTCTCAGACGTTGAAATTTAGTGCAAGTGCTAAGCACGCTTTTGACGATGGGTCTCCTTTCTGATGTTATTGACCACGCCCTACCTCAAACTTCCCTGGGATGGGCCGCTCTTATACTCGCATCTTTTACTCTCTATTCTGTCCAGCTAGTCGTGAGGCGGCTCTACTTCCATCCTCTAGCCAAGATACCCGGACCATTCCTAGCGCGGACGACGTACTGGTATGAGTTCTATCAAGACATAATTCTGGGTGGCATTTATGTCAAGAATTATGCCGCACTCCACGAAAAATATGGTTGGTCCTCTCCACAATCTGACGCTTGGGCCCCCAAGATATATCATAGCTGGCATAATATGCATGTACTAATTCCATGTCAACAGGACCTGTCATCAGAGCTAGCCCAGATCGGGTTCACGTCAGTGACCCTGACTTCTTCCACGAGTAATTTTCACCTCTATTTGATCCATTCCTTCTCAGCTGATTTGAAATCTCAGGGTCTACTCTTCTGGGTCCAAGTACATGAAGGATCCTGCGTTTTTCCAGGCGGCTGGAGGTATTCCCGAGGCTCTTCCTGCCATTGTCGATGTCGAATACCACAGGCGCCGGAGAAAGCTCATTAACGACTTGTTCTCTGCCAAGTCCATGGAAGCGCTATCTCATCTTGTCCTGAAGGTCGTCCAGAACGCACTCAGCAAGGCCCACGAGCACCACGATCAGAACAAAGTCCTGGACATTCAGCGTCTCTACACCGGTATCACGATCGATACTATCATGCAAGTCCTATGTGACCGAACGCTCAACTTCATCGACGCCAAGGAAGAGGAGGAGCCACCGTTCCTTGCCACCCTGCGCACTTTCTCTGAGAATTTCTTCATCTTGAAGCACTTCCCCATCCTCATTTGGATGGCGCTGAACATTCCCAAGAACATTGCCATGAAACTGATCCCAGGTGAGTTCGAGTTTCGCGCCAGTATCAACCAGTGGATACGTGATCGCGCTAGCGAGCATGAGCTCGGTGTGGAGAAAGCCGAGGATGGCCGCAAGACCGTCATCGATCTCCTGTTGCGACCCGAGGATGGCGGGAGACCCCTCACCCATCAAGCTGTAGAGGATGAAACCTACTCGTTTGCTTTTGCCGGAACCCACACTACCAGTCATACCATGAGCATGGGCACCTATTACCTGCTGAGCCAACCGGCCAAGCTCCAGAAGCTCCGTGACGAGCTCAAACCTATCCCCAAGAACGACCAAGGCCTGTACGAGTACAAGACTGTCCGATCTCTTCCATATCTGAACGCCTGCATCAAGGAGTCTCTCCGCATGTCTTCGCCGGTACCAGGTATTCTTCCCCGTCTTGTGCCCGCGGGTGGCATGACGTGGCGGGGTCATTACCTGCCTGCAGGGACCTCCGTTTCTAGTTCGATCCACTCTGTTCACACCAACCCTGACATCTTCCCCAACCCCGACCAGTTCATCCCCGAGCGTTGGTTGGCCAACGAGAACTTGGACCATTACCTCGTTGTCTTCGGCAAGGGCTCCCGTGCCTGCATCGGCCTCAAGTAAGATTCCCTCTGTTTTGTTCCTTGCTCCTCTTGGAGTTGCCCTCTATGCAGCTGCTAACCTGATACCCTCTATAGCGTCGCTTGGATGGAGACCTACCTCACCTTCTCTAACTTCTTCACCTCGCTGAACATGAGCCTGTACGAGACGAACGAGCAATCTACGGACTGGACCGACTGCGGCAACGCTATGATTAAGAAGCATGTCAGAGTCAAAGTTGACTCTTTTGCGTCGTAGTAAATGATTGATCAAGAATACAAGGGAATATAGGATATAGATAGTATAGTTAGAAATTGAACAAGATTAGATTGGCTCTGTTTGATTAAGAACTCCTGGCCTTCAGTGAGTATCAAGGCGATAGTGATGATCATACTGTATATAAATGTTTCAGAGAGATTTTTGTCCTTCGCTACTAGTACCGCACACTACCTATCCACAAGATATTCATTCAATTGTCTTGAAGTAATTACTCTTATTAGTCATTTTTTTGATATGTATTCTCTATATTTCAGTTATATCTGACTTCAATAATATATATATTTATGCTTATAACGTAGTTTATTATCGTATGAGCTCTATTATTATATAAACTACTTTGATCTTGATTTATTTAATAATTGTTAAATAATATAAATTGGAATATATTAATTGATTAGAATCATTGAAAATCTAATAAATTAAAATATATCATATTATACTGATAAGTTTTTAAATTTTAATTTAATTCTTCATGTGTGTTATAATATTTATTAGATAATATTTTTATTAGAATTTTCTTTATTTTGGTATTTGTTATTGTTAGGGTTGATCCACTTTATCATTAATCCACAAAAGCGTGGAGTGTTCCGAATACTTTCGGAACAGTGGATTTACTATATAAACCCTATCAGGTGGTTGTTTCCTAATATTCACCCCTGTTTTGTACAGACCCACCCAGTATACATCAATCAGAAAGGAGCTAGCTCCCTATAAACATAGATTTATAAACATAGAATACTAGAAGTGCAATAGCTGTAACTGAACCAATCACTGAGATTGAATTCAAAGTACGATTATCCTCGTTCAGATTTACCGAATAAGAAGCTCAGAATAAGATACCCTTGTATTCGGAACACAATGTTAGGGTTGATCCACTTTATTACTAATCTATAAAAGCGTGAAGTGTTCCGAATGCTTTCGGAACAATGGATCTACTATATAAACCCTGTCAGGTGGTCGCTCCCTGACAGTTATATTTAATTTAAATAATATGAAAATGCTGAAATAATATATTTAGTAAATTATGAGTAAAAGCACTAATATAGTATCTTTACGAAATCTCTATTTTTCATACTTCTCAAATTCTTTTTTAGTTCTTTTAAGGTTATAGATATTATTAGAATAGATCTCAGATCGGAGTAATTTAAGTCATCGATTTTATATCCCAGCTTTTTTTCATTTCTATAACCGTGAGTGTAGGCTTGCGTTTAGCTATAGAAGATGATTAGATCAATCAGTCCTTTTCCAACGATAGGATTGATGGTGAAGATGGATTCCGTTTTTCGTATGATCTCTTTAGAACGAACTATATTCGGACCTGTAATAAGTCTACGCTTAAGTTGAGCTAAGCCTGAAAAGTACCAGCACACTTCTTTACCACGTGACTCATCCACGGCGATCTCTTACGGGCCAGCCACGCAGGAAGACCCTTCATCCTAAGTTTCCATATGCAATGCAACAATATAGCTTTCCGACAACCATTTGTGGTATCTAATCTTTTGCTTGATATTCCCACCTCATGCGGAGACTATGAAACAAGAAAATTCCACGCGCGGCCAACCGCAAGGGTATAACGACGCGATATGAGCTTTATCAAGATACAGGTAAAAGTGAGGACCGTCGCAGAGACATTTGTGTGCTAACCTACGAACAGGAACCGAATAGGTGTCGAGTCGCTAACCTTAAAGAAACATTGGAAGCTTCCGATGAAAGTTGCGGGACCGCAAGTACAATCAAGGTAAGTCCGATCCATGTAAATCGAGAACAGAGTGCAGGGACCATACGCATACAAAAGTAGATGACAGCGACTGGTTGATTACCTTTCTGGGCTTCGGGCGAACCGGAATGTCCTATTCGGGAATATACCGGTGGACTCGAGGTGGATACCGCGGCAATTTAGGCGCCCGAGGCGACTACGAACGGGGTGCCATGCCAGCAGCTGGGTGTAGCACTTGGTAGATATTTATTGTTGGTGTTAGAAACCGACTTATCGCAGGTAACATGAATCAGAGAAAGTGAACATGATCGAGTATAACGTCACAAGCACCACTCTGGAGCCTAAGACCGGTTGGCCTGTCGTCGACAGTCTACTGGGAGGCTATATTAAATTGGAGACGTTGAATTGGCAGGTTGTGGCCAGATTCCTTGTAACTATTGTAAGTTCTCTTTGTGCAGCTCATGATTGCGCATCACAAAGCCTTTGGCTAATTTTGGAACTCTCGAATACAGATCCTGTGTAGATTCATTGTCGTGTGGAGCTACAATCTGTGGTTTCATCCTCTTGCCCGGTTCCCAGGGCCATTCTTGGGTCGTTGCTCTCTCGTAAGTCATCTGAAAGTCAGCAGTCTACTACTACGATCTGGGTTCTCACCAGGGACTTTATTCTGCAGTTTTACCGTTTCATCCATAGCTCTCGGGGTAGGATCCACTCTGCAGTAGCAGACGCCCACAGGAAATATGGTTTGTTGTTTCATCCCAGATTATGGTATACTCTAGTACTTCTGACACGGGTTCTTAGGCGATATTGTACGCGTTGCGCCAAACGAGCTCTCGTTCGCCAGCGTGGAGTCCTGGAAGGCCATCTACGGCCACCCCACAAGGGGCAAGGAGATTGCACCAAAGGGACCTTTTTACGAAGTTTTTGCCGCCGGCTTTAATAGCAAATGCGTCGGCAGCGAGCGCAACCCGGAGAAGCATTCTTTGATGCGCAAGATGTTGAACCCTGCCTTCTCCCAGCGTGGACTGCTCGAGCAGGAGGAGATAATCTCTGGAATAATTGACAAGTTCGTCCACATTTTGGGAGAGAAAGCGGGTCCCGGTACCAAGGGATTCAACATGACAAAGTGGTATGAAATGAACTCGTTTGACATTCTGGGCGAGATGGCCTTTGGGGAGAGTTTTCACAGTCTAGATACAGGCAAGTCCCGAGGCATATCTTCTGCGTGGAGAGACAAAACACTGACCCACACCAACGATAGGTATCCCGCACTTCTGGGCAGATCTTGTCCTCGAGCATCTCTACATAATAACCTTGTTTGACAATTTGCGGCGCATTGGCTGGCTGGCCAAGCTTGCTGGACTGCTTATTCCTGCCTCGCTCGTCACCAGGAACCAAAACTCGAACTATAGCAGGCAGCAGGTCGAGAAGTGAGTCGAAAAAACGGTCTAGAAACTCGAGCTTTACTGATCAAAAATTCTTAGGCGTCTCGAGATCAAAGAATCCCGTAACGATTTCGTTAGTCTGCTGGTCGACAAAGTTCGCGCGGGAGAAGTCTCTAAGGAGGAGATGACGGCTCATGTCTCGACCCTTACGTATGTGATAAGTATTCTCACAATCATCATCTCATAAGACACTGGCTGAAAGATTTGTTGTTTGACAGGATTGCTGGTGGGGAGACCGTCGCGACTACGTTGTCCGGCCTGACGTGCTTCCTCGCTCAGAACCCTGACAAGCTTGAGCGGCTCACCAAAGAGATCCGCGCCGCGTTCAAGACTTTCAAGGAGATCAATGCAGTCAAGTCTCAGCAACTACCGTACCTGCAAGCCGTCATCAACGAGGGTCTCAGACTTTTCCCTCCTGCCTCTGGTGGTGCGCCAAGAGTCTCGCCTGGTTTTACGCTACATGACAAATACATTCCCAAGGGAGTAAGTCTCACTGCTTCTGCCGTTTTGTGTGCTATTCAGATTGCTAATCAGTCCTATCGGCACCTTAGACCGAGGTCAACGTCAGCCCCTGGTCCATTACCCATAACTCCAAGTATTTCTCAGACCCCTGGAAATTCAAGCCAGAGCGCTGGTTGGACCCCAACTCAAAGGACATCAAGGATGCCAGTCGTCCGTTCTTGCTTGGGCCTCGAGATTGCTTGGGACGGAAGTAAGTTACCACAGCCCAGTTTGTTCCCCAAGACTTCAAATAACCAATCACTCACAATTTTGCGTGTAGCTTTGCCTTGATGGAGCTGAACCTCGTGCTGGCGAAGCTGCTCTGGTCATATGACATGGAGCTCGTCAACAAGGAAATCAATTTCTTAGAGCAGAGCACAGTGCACGTTCTGTGGTGGAAACCGAAATTGTTTGTCCGGTGGCATAAGCCACAATCTCCTGGCTTTTCCTCTTCTTAGCTTACCTAGGTAGAGCTCTATGCCAGGAGAGGCCATACGAGCTTGATAGTGCGGGCGGAGCCGATTGGAAAATTAGGTGTTCTTTTTCTCCAAATCGTACTGGCTCTTCCTCCCCCAAGTTCTACTAGAACTGACTGTAGGTAATAGTATCAAAGCGCGCTGGATAGGCGTCAGGGCCGAACTAGAGGTGGTGCACTCAAAGATCTACAAGATCAATTAAAAATGGATTGTTGTAGACCTACAAGGGTAATTGAAGTACATCCTCTATATGGGGTTTAGGTAACAGAATAAATCCATTACTTACCACTCATTTGGTCAGTCAATCTTGCTTGAGGTAGACCGCGTCAAAAAGAAGCCGAAGCTGTTTCTGTGTCGCCTGGCGTTAAATCTGGTGACAGAGAAACTGCTCGCAGCGGAATCAAAACATGCTTGATGGGGGTCCCATTTAAACGTCCACCAATACGAGCGTTACCGTTTCCACCACCTCAACATATGTACACTTTAATCGTACAACCACAACATTGAAGGCCACATAAAGAGCTCTGCCGTTCCCTTTTGCATCAATGCTTGGTGTTGAAGTGAGGAAGCGGCAGATATACATTGATGGAAGTAGTCTTCTTTATCACCCTACTCTCACTAGAAGTGCTATTCAAGCTGAATGTGGCATCCCCATCATCGTATCCAATCTCTTTGCCACCATCAACTGTCCTAGCAAGCTCAATAATCGCTTCACTCATCAAACTTCTTTTCGCAATTTTACTTGTACTCTGTTTATAACGGTTCTGACTTAAGATTTTCATGCCAACGGAAGAAGTATAGGTCTGCGCGTTCGTCTCGAATTCTCCAAGCCGGTGAATTCCATCATTTCTTATCATGCCACTGTCGAGAGATCCGAGGAATGGCTTTAGGTACGGCATGCTGGGATGGAGACAAGAAAGGCGAAGAACTATTTGAGAAGTATTCGCGGGCTCCCAGAGAGTAAGCAAAACGTCCGAGGACTTGTACGATCGCGAAATTAAGACCAACTGAGCCACAAGGACACCGGGAATTCTTTGGAGATGTTAGAAAAAAAGACCAAGTATATGAGGAGAGGCTGCTCACAGTACTCGAGATCCAAAACAGAACCATATGGCGAATCCTTGACGTGTCTTCACACGAAGACGCCATATGATTGCGAGAGGGATGATTGTCAACAAGATGTTGAAAATAATTCCAAGGATAAGGAAAGCGACCCAAAATGGTTACTAGATGGTTTTGTTAGCTCTCAGTCGATCCAAAGACTCGTCTTTTAACTTGCTCTGTTGGAATATTTTGCATCATCAAATACGACCTAAACATGATGACAAGCTTGTAAAGCTGCTACGATGAGGGCAACGACGGTCCATATCGAAAGTAAGATTCCAAAAATGAGACAAATTCGACGTTGATTAATGTTTGGTGTTAAATCATAAAGAAATGCTATGGCAGATAGTTTCATGAAGCCAAGTCCGAGAACCAGACATAGATCAGCTGCATATTGCAACTACAAAATTTATCAGAGAATTTCAGACGGAACAATCGTCGAGAGATATACCTTTTGGGCTGTGAGCAGCTGAGAAGTTGAACTTAAGCTTGTCCGGGCTCCCAGCCCATTCGAAGACTTGAGAGATATGACTATTCCATTTCCTGCATAAAGTGCTCTTACAAAAAGTCACAAAATTGGTCTCTTCGGTGTTTATGATCAGTAGATCATTCCCTAAGGTACTAGCTACAGCCGGGTTCGCTTATAATGCCTTATAAGCCAATCAAAATGTTGTAATCTAAAAGGTTTTGAAATCGTAAATTATGTTTATTTCGATAATGAATTATAATAGGATTTAAAAGTTATATTAAATTTGTTCTTGAAATATAATAATTAAATTTGTAATTAAAATAATTAAACTTTATTAGTAATAGTCGGCTCTTATAAGCGGCCGATTAGTTCCTAATCGGGGAAAGCGAATGTCCCCAGAAAGCGAATGTTCCTACTCAAACTGAAAATATCATATATTTGATACTATTTACAATAAAGGAGCAGGCTAATAGAATACATGTAATATTGACTATGTAGATTAATTGTATTGAGGTAAAATCTAATTATAAAATAGAAATGATATATGTATAATAATATAATGTATATACCACAACTTCCAATACTCCCCTAAAAAGCTTACTCTCTTAGTTTCTATAATTAGTTTTGAAGTTTTAATATATTCTTAAATCTCTCAAATATTATTCTTGTATATAGTTTTATTAATTTATTTATAGTTATATCGCTTATATTAATATAACTAATATTAATTAAATGTTTTTCTATAAAATCCTAAATGAAGTGATAATATGTATCAATATATTTTGATTGTTTATATAAATAAGGGTTCTTAATTAATGCTAACACTTCTTGATTATCTCCTAGCATTTAAACTTCACTGTTATTCTTGATATACTGTAATCGCTTTAAATCTTTTAAGAATTGAGTTATTTATTACTCTTATTTGGTGAATATTGTTATAGAAATATACTTAGCTTCTATATTAGATATAACTATAGATATCTATTTCTTACTTGCCCATAAGATTGATTTATTATAGAATATTATTATTTTATTAGAAATACTTTTTTGATTGGTTTTATCATTTGTTTAATTTGTATTAATATATATTTTAATAATTTATTATAAAAGATTATATTTTTTACAAATATTTAATTGAACTTCCTTAGATTCAAAACATAGTTTCTGATTAATAGTTGATCTTAAATATCTTATAAGGTTTTTAAATACAATACTGTAATGTTTGATAGGATTTGATATAGCTTGTA